GGGGGGGGGGGGGGGGGGGGGGTGTGCATGATGAATTCATCCGGCCTGTGAATACTTAGCAGCGCATGCATGTGAATACTTAGCCGTCAAGTATGCTCAGGCTAGCGAGTTTGAGTTCTTCAGTCTCCGAAATCTGATGTATTCGAAAGTAACCGTTTTTGGGCCCGGCGGCCAGTGTATCGGTTGATTCAGTGGGGGTGTCGGTGACTGCCAGTGAGGGTCCAATGAGCGGTGGTGCTTTGGGGTGGTTGCTTTCCCATGTAAAAACGGCGCCCCTGTGACGGGGATCACACTCAGCACCCGAGTGGGACGGCTGAGCGAAACACACTCTGACACTTGTATTCAGTGAACTCAGTTACCACGTTGGGAAGAAAGGCGGTGGAACAGCATGGCGGAAAGTCCGAGACAATTGTAGGTGTTTCAACAAGTTGTTGGTCAAGTCTGCAGAGCGATCGATCGGCGCGGCTCAGCTGCAAGACAACGCGGCTGCAAGAAAGGGTTTAGGGGATTTAGGGGGAGGTATCATGCAAGGACCATGAAAACAAACCAGAAGAAAATTGGTGTCACAGCTTGCAATCAAGGCAGGTACACAGATTGGCGTCCCAATCTGCTTCACGGAATGTCCACAGCTGTCTTCGTTGGCAGCAGAACTGTGGATTCCCTGCTGCCCCCTGCCTGATTGGAGTGGTCGAAGGAAACCCTTTGTCCAGGGGTGGACACACACACATGCCGAACTAGCTTGTTGCACAAGTGCACATCTTCTTGACCTTGAGCTTCTGACAGTTCTGAAAGCTGCACGCCTTTGTGAGGGCCCAAGTCGTCCGCTGAGTGGATGAGTCCTCGACGAAGTACACTTAATTGCACCAGGAGAAGGGTTTTGTTAATTCTGATACTCCTCCCCATTTTTCACATTTTCTTACCTCACAGGCCAAGAGCGGCACCGCCTCAGGCGCCCCATCAGACCCCTTCCCGCGGCACGCCCGACATCGACCGCCGTTGCCTTCCTCGTGGCCAGCCATGGCGATGGCCGAGTTCAGCTGTGCCAGCTGCGCCGAGGCCTTCGCAACGGCGGGCGAGCTGCGAGCACATTGCAAGTCCGAGCGGCATGTGTACAACATGAAGCGCCAGTTCTTTGCATTGAAAGCAGGGAACCGGACTTCAGAAACTTTTTACTGTATGGGCTGTATGGGTGCTTTTTGGGAGGTGAAGGGACTTAGCTTTTAGCCCCTCGCTCTCCTCGCCGTTGGCCGTCGGCCAGTTCGATCCACGACCGAGGCTCTCAAGTTTGAAGCCCATCTCGCAAGAGGCCTGGGAGCGCAAGCTCCGTGAGCGTGAGGGGCAGGAGAACACCAAGGGCACCGCGCACCTGAAAGCGGGGAAGGTGCAGCGCAAGGGGGCTGAAGCTTGGGCAAAGTCTTTGTATTTTTTCTTCGGAGGAATTGACGCATGGTGGGGGGAATGGGAAAAGCACTGGTGTTTTTGTTGGTGCATTTAGGGGATTATTGTTATTATGCTTGGTGTATCGAATTTGATATGGGATTTGTCGTTTGGAAATTGTTTTGAATTTCTCCAGGTCAGGTTGATCAAATCTAAGGAGGGTTATGCAGAAACTCTAGAAGCTCCACGAGAGGAAGCGATGCCAGTGGCGTTTTCCCCACGTAGATCTCTATTTGACCGTCAGCATTTTAGCACAGTCGACAAGAATTTGGCCTACATGTGGAAGACCTACAGTTTCTTTGTGCCCGACCGAGAGTATTGCACCAACCTGGAGGGTTTGTTGGAGCACCTGTGGAGCAAGTGCACCGAAGATTGCAGCTGCCTCTTTTGCCACCGCCGATTTCCGGATGCAGCCAGCACTCGTCGCCATATGCTGGACAAAGCCCATACGCGGATCGGCACCGAAGCGCGCACCCGGCGTGGAAATGTGGATGAGGTGGGCTCCCAAGAGCTCGAGGCTGAGTTGGAGGAGTGGTTGATTCCGCATACGTAGCAGCGAGTACTGCAGCGCCATAGAACAGAACTCATGTTCAATCATGCGCTTGGAATGTGTGCTCTATATGATTGTTGAACATTGTTGTTTGCGGTTGTTTGCGTCCTAGGGGGGCGCCTCAAACGATCTCATTTTGGTCGGCGTTCTCTCCGTCCGATCTTCCCAACCGGCACCTCCCTCCGATCGTTTTTGAACTCGACCAGGAGTTCTATGACTACACCGGGTCCACGCGAGAGATCACCCAACGCATCACCGACCCTCAGCAGCGGCTTGCGTCCATTTTCCGATTCTTTGACCAAGATCGCGATGGATTTCTCTCACACGCAGAGCTTTCAGAGCTCTGGAAGGCCACCAAAGGAGAGGAGGCGCAACTGAGCGCGTCTTTGTTTCAGGGTGCTTGTGCACAGGCTGGGGCAGATCCCAAAGAAGGGTTGGACATGGAGGCTTTGGCTCAGCTCTATGCCGAAGGCTTTGCAGATTTGGAGGAACACTTCCAGGTACTGGAAGACATCTTGGCAAAAAAGCTCTCCAATAAGAATGCTCTCACAGGTCTAGCACCTCGAAAGGAGGTACAAGAAGATGACGAAGATGACGAAGATGAAGATGACGAGGAAGAGGATGATGCAGAGAGTTCAGGCACAGAGATTGTGGAATGTGACGATGAAGCAGAGTTCGAGGAGGTGATGCGAGTGCTTGGCTTACAGCCTGCCACAGTGCTGGACAACGGCGACCTAAGGCTTCCAAATGGTATGGTCGCCGCAAACCGGGATGTGGCACACATTTGGAAGCAGCGGGGTTCTCGTGTTGGTCCCTTAGCGCTGGCTGGGGGCCGCTCAGGTGTAAAGAGTGTGCGGGCTCATCTCATGCTTGCGAATGATGCCGCCGGCAGGGTGGAGTTGACCAAGAGAGAGCAGAAGAGGGAGGGGAAGCGAGTGATCGCCGTGTTGAAGGAAAAGAACAAGCAAGAGATGAGACTGGGCATCCTGGTTTGGGCTTGACAGAATGGTGATGAATTGTGTTTTTTAATTATCCGATTTCTTCGAACAAATGGTTTCTGTTTCATGTGTTTGTTCCGGGTTCCATTATGTGTCCATTCCGTTTTCCACTCCAAGGCATGCAGATGAATTCCGTGCTGAAAGGAAGACCCAAGAAGTTTCGGACGCTCATGGGAGATGCCTCCGGCGGACGGTAAGTCCAAGACCCCCGGAACCGAAGACGGCCACGAAGCAGTCCAAGCGACCCCACACCATCGAGTGGTGAGTCGATGGGCAAGATGTACAGATTGGGAATGGGTCAAAATGAAGGGTATTTGGGCATCGCTACTAGGAAGCTACGAAGCTACTAGGGGCTCCTGGCCTTACCACTAGGAGCAAGAAGCTGGTCAAACTCGGAGAAATATAGGCGAACATTTGGACATGGTGAACATCCGTGACTCCAAAGAAACTGTTGCTGTTCAGCTAGGGGCAGTCCATGGGGGGTTGATCCACGCCCTGGTTTCACTTGCTAAATGGAGAGCTCCTTTGGCTGTGCTGAAGGCTGCCTGCTTCAATAAGTCGCGGCCAAAGAAGTCTCAAAGCTTTGCTCTTAGTGTACAGTTGAGTTGGACAAAAAGGACACCGTTGCAAATTGTGCCACCTTTTTGGGGGGAGGCTTTCATCCGGAGCTTTGCCATGCCAGCCATTTTGCCCTTCTTGGGCGATCAGCGGTGTCATGGCTACGCGATCAGCTCCGCAGGATCATGTTAGCTCTCTTCATGCGAACTTCACATAGAGAAAGAGAAGGACTTCAGATCCCACAAGCGAAAATGACATACGGCTTGGAGATCAACATGTTGGAACGAAGTGGTGGGCAACGGCGCCAGCAGAGCTTCCACTCACAAGCCAAAAACCTGGGACTTCAGGTCGCGTATAAGCAAGAAAAATGCAAACAAACTGAAAAGACATGCAAACCAAGCAGTTTCCTTGGTTTCATGCTCGATGATCCCACGATATCCCACTACTGTCACCTCACATGACCTCTCTTCAGCGTGTGGACCTCCGTCGAGCGAAGTGCCACTCGAACGCAGTGGTGATCTTTTCTCGATGGGTTTCGGAAACGAGGCTTGGAAGTTGTTTGATGTTACTTTTTGTCCGGCATGTTTGAGTCTGATGTTCTTCCTCTAAAACGTTTGGAGTCCTTATTTTGACCAAAAGCTGTGCCTGGTTCTGTTTGACTCGCGCAGCCGCCACCGATGCCAAGGCAATGACGGAAGCTTCGGCGCTTTCTGGTTTGCCTCCGGGCGGGGTGACCGCACGGTGTGGCACATCCATTTACAAGGAGGCAGGGGCAACCAACACGAGGAGCTCGTTGAGCACCGCTTTTTGAGCACCGAAACGACATTGTATAGACTAGACATCCACATTGCAGAACATATCGGTATACCAATCCTCCATGTTCATCCATGTTCTTGTTTGTGTACACACTTGAGATGCTCAGACGTCTATGTGAATCAGAGCAGGCAGGAGACCAAAACCATCTCAGCAGGCCTTCAATGGCCTCAGAGATGTGAGGAATCTTGTGGTACCAATTGGACAAGACCCAATACTTCGACCTGGAAAAGACCTCATTTTTCTTTTTCCAAGGCATCAAATGTCCGGATTCCGGAGGGATGCGGGCAGAACAGGTCGAAGTGTGATCTCTTCGAGCGCGTTACGCGCGTTACGCGCTTGCGTTGGTGGAAAGCCTCCGAGCTTTGATCTCTTCGAGCTATCCAAGGCGGTCCATCATTGTAGATGTTGTGTCAGGTGTTTGAGGCGTTAGGGCCGTCGTGTCATGTCAACACTTGCATTGGGTTTGCCTTTTTTGATTGCCGATGCCTGTGCGGGGAGCCAAGTCTTTCTCCTGAAGCATGCAGGTGGATACTGCCATGATGAGGCCTCAGGGTCGGTGGCTGTCGCTGTCGCTGTGACCCTGCCAGCATACTGTACTCACTACTTCTTGTTCAGTTCAGGGATCAGCCTTGTCATCTAGAATCTAGTCAGTGGAATTGTGGGTGGGAATTTAGAGCCGAGTGCTGTTCAAAGACCTTTATGTTGTATTTGCTTTACTATACTTTACTATATAGATTATGTTTAAAGCATGTTTTTTTTTAGCATGTCGTCGTTTCTGGTTTTGTTTGTCCAACATGGGTAAAGTTGCTTGGTTCAGTTTGGTGGAGAAAAGAGCCCCCAGAGGAGGTAGCAGGTTTGCAGAAAGCTGGTTCCACAAGCAGGTGACGAAAACAAGTCTTGGAAGAAACTGTTTCAGTGGCAAGAGACAAACTATACACAGTAAAATACTGTTAATCAACATGCCGCAACAGAACCAGTTGGCCAGAAAAACAGTTGTTCCTTAGTCGGCAAGGTCAAAGTCACAGGAAGTAACCCTATTGATTTCAACTCAGTTTACCTTTTGAAGTCAGTGGCTTTGTCCGTAGTTGTGGGCCACTGGGCCTGCCACAGGAGAGCTGCTTCTCCAGCAGGCACAGCCAAAAGTTGATGTCATCCAATCATTGGCCCATGCGTGGCTTGGCTGCTGAGGTGATGTATTGATGCTTTTGGAACCCCTCTCCGATGAACACTTCTAGGGAGGAAGAGCTCGCCAGGTTTTGGTATCCTGAGGGTGAGGTGATATACTGTATTTCCATGGTTCTGGTGGACGAAACGCGAACTGGTCAAGGAACGCCATGGTTCTTCTCCATGTCTGCCCGAGTGGACGAACAACCAAGGCATCCAGAAAGGTGGTCTCTTTTCGGCTGGGACGCCTGGGTTGGATGAGGCAGCCCATGCCTTCATTGGGTCACTTGGCTGGAAAACACAGTCTAGTCGGACATTTGTGGACGAATGGAGCCCTCTTTTTCAAAGAGTACATCTATCATCACTGTATCAACCTGCTGGCTGCTGCCGAACCTCACCAAAGTTCATGCGAAGCATCATGAAACATCGTTGGTTTGCGATGATTGCAGGTGATTGCAGGTGCATGGTCTGGGTTTTCGCAGTGGATCCCAAGCTCTCCAATACTGGCCTGGGCAGGTCATACTGTAAGTGTTTGTTTCGAGGACTGGCACTACCAGGACCATCCGATGGGCGTCCAATGGACTATCCTACGACTACTTGGGGATCTCCATTGGACACCCTTTGGACGATTAGACGGTCCAAGTATAGATTAACCTTCATAAGATGGTGTAAGCATTCACATCCTCCCACCCGGACACTCTCCGATAGGGAACGATTGTTTTCCAAAAGATGAGTCAGAACCTAAACCTCTCACATGAATTCGTTTGAACAGTTTGGTGGACCACTTTGTGGTGTTCAAGGGCGTATGTAATGTATGTAACCTTTTCATGCCAAGTTTGGATCATGACTCAGACATACTCAGATTCTACATTTCGGAGAGAGGGAGTGACCGACCACGATTCTTCCAGCAGTGAAACGTGTTGGACTCGGATGACTCGGATGCATGGACATTTCGAGTCCCGGCATCGTCGGAAGTCGGAAGTCACAGATTTGGGTTGATGGGAGTGAGGGACGGGCGGAATCCAGTCACATGCTACACTGTAGCCGTCCACTCAGGAAACATCCTGATAGCTTGATACATGGTACAGCGTTGATGAAGACTCGATTGGCCGTGGATTTAGCAAATGCTCATAGTGGATCCACGATATGGTTGAAATGTGTTGCCGCACTGTTGCCAAGTCAAGGATATGTACCGCCCCTGTGTTCGGGTGAGAAACAACTTGCCGGAAAACGTGGGCAGAGAAAGGATGAGAACGCTTTCAGTCCATAGAAGTCCAGAAGTTCGCACTTGGTTTCGGTCCACAACAGCATGGACAGATACAAACCTCGGCGTCGCCCAGGTATTGCAGCTCTGATTCCTGGCTGGGCAACTCCTCCCAGCTCTGGCGGGGCCGCGCCTTTTACTTCCAGGGCTCCGAGATCTTGGTGGAAACGGTCCGCTGGCCAGCCAAGCGGGGGTGATTCGGCCCGGATGGCGACGGTGAGACGAGAACGACATGCGGGAGTAGACATTCCAATAAAACGACAAAATATGTCAGGTTGATTGCCAAGAATTTCGCACAACTGAGCATCAATGCAAGATTCGGATTGAGCTTCCCAACAGAGCGGTTTGTTCTGAATCAACGAGTAACCTCACAGTCCCAACACATTTCAAGGCAGGAGCTGTCGATTCTCGCCGGTCAGAACCCCCTTCCCTTCGATCGGGCAAGCCAATATACCGTTCGCATGCTTTACTGCTGGGTTGCTCTATGTTGCTCTTATGAGGATGGCTGTGATCGGAGGACGACGAGCACAGAGAACATATCTACCACACGTTTTCACACAGCACTAGAGTTCCCATGTGGCTGAACACAATATGACAATATGGAACATTAACGAATCTTTACGACATTGAATTGGGTACTAATTCCCCGCGCAATTTCCCTTGCGGTCTGGGCCTGAACCATTTCGACGGCGTTCAACTTGCTGTGCCCATGGAACAACCGCCACGTTTTCAACTGTTCCTGTCAAGCTCTGTGCGTTCTACGCTTCAACTTGTTTGCAGATCTTCCTACACGGTGAGGTGTGTCGAACTAAACCTGTTGGGCCACTTGTTGCGATATCCTGGTGCACTCTTGCAACACCAGTCGGGCTGAGTTGTCCCTGTTGTTTGTTTTCTTTTTTATTTCCAATGCGTGAATGACATGCATTAGGGTACACATGGGTATGCGTATGGGGATCCGGCCTGGTAGATCCTGATACCACTTGTTAAGGGCAACAAAATGAGTCATGTTGGACTTCCAGGGGCGCCGCAGGTCCTTTCTTGATGCTTAATCGACCCCCCCTGGCCACGCCGCATTGAGGTCGAAACCTTGCTGAACTTTGGAATGAAGCACGCAAAGCTTGTGCTTTTCAGTGGTTGCAGCGCCGGTGGTCGAGGAGAGCAGGACAGTACACTAGATGACCATCCATTTGTGACCTTGCTCGTTTTTGCTCAGAAAACTGTAGCCTTTCTGGTTTCGGTCACCTTCCGAATGGGTTTTGGTGTAGCAGCAATGAGTCCTGCTGGCGACAACGAATAAGTGATCTGCAGACGTGCGGAGTTTGGTCGTCTACTCATCCCCATCATGAGAAGTTTGTCCCACTTGGACTTCACTTTCGGAAAGCGTCCCACGATCACATCTTCTGGAGTGGACATAAGGACTTCAAACAGCTACCCGACCAAGCAATCAATCAATTAATCAACCAACCAATCAAATCCATTGCATTTTTTGGGGTGCTTCAGCTATACCAACTCCTCAAGTTTCTTGAGAGACCGCTCCATTGGCCAACTGGGTTGGGCCTCCACAGAGCCATCGATCTGCGAGTCCCAGGACTTCTCTACAACTTGGACGGCCTTTGCCACCTGGTGCGCCAAAGTGTCTCCCGATCTGCGCGGTGTTTGGGGCTGGCCGATTCCGCCTGGTGGCTGGATAGCGCCTTAGCCTGGTAGCAAGCTTTGGCATGGGGCGGTCCTTGTAAGCCATTATAGTGGTCCCCCAAATAGATATAGTCGCATGGTTTATACACTGGTTTATACCTTTCAAAAGGGATTTTGCATCTTCTATCTGGGGCCGGGGGTCTTAAATATTGGTGAATATGGGTGATTTGATGTGATTGGTGCACTTTCTTGGCCACGCCCGGAGAGTCTGGGGATTCCAAGGTGTCACCACCGCGAAGGGCCTCGTTTGGCAGTCCTGGCTGCGGCACGTCGCCGCCAAGGGAGGCGATCGGGGGGATCGGGGGATGACTTCGCATGGCTTCGCATGGTCACAGGTCATGAAGTCGTTTTGTGGCCTCTTGCGGCTAGGCTTGTTTGGACAATTTGGCCACCTTCCTTTTGAGGATGGACAATGGCTTTGAAGGAAAGTCTGCTCGATGTCTGCAGTAAAAAGGGGTCATTTGTAATTCTATGGTACGTTCAAAGCCAACCCAAGTTGGTGTGAAGCAAGGTAGGCTGGCAGAATTTGACCATTCTGCATTGAATTTGTGTCCAGTTGCCATGTACCACAGGGACAGGAATGCTACCTTCCCCAGGCGGTTGTGTCGGGTGTGACGCTTGACGCTATCGTCTCTGAGTGTTTCGTCTCAGAGTTCCGGAGGTCCCATATAAAGGCTCCAACGATATACCACGCCCTGAAATTAATGCGTGCTTATCAGGCTTACGTGGATGTCATGGCCCTTGTTCTTTTTTTCTGTCTTTTCGGATGACGCTTTGGCCAAAGTAAACCACACTTATATCTGATGATATTCTGACATTATATCAGGAGTGTGACCCTTAATCTTCCAACTACTCCGGAGGTGATGCCTGGGGATCTTCATACCTTTCTCAACCCTTGTGGCGATGTCGACAAGCGCAGCAAGTCCGACGAGCCGCTGGGCCCACGGACCACGCAAAGCGAGCAGGCTAGCTCTCTTTCTTCTGTTGGTGGGAGATGATCAGGGGTGGTCAGAAACCATCAGAAACCAAGATCAGGATAGATCAGGGGAAGTATCAGGGGATTTGGATCCCTGTTGAAAATTTTTCTACGTAAAGGGGGAGGTTGAGGCCCTTACACAGGGGTCATTGATTCTTCTTGATATTTCTTGATGTCAACGGCACCTGCAGGCCTTCTGAAGAGCATGCCTTTTTCACCAACATGGAATCTGCATGAATCTGCCAGCCTGAATATTCAAGGTGGACATGCAGCCTGCACACACACACACAAATCCCGCACTCTTTCGTGGGCTTCTTGTTGTTCAGAGCTGCACATGTAAAGTCTTAATAGAGGACGCTACTGAGTAACTAGGCCTGACCACATGGATCCATCCCTGGTTCTTGGCTCGATGTCGTTTCCAACCGAGCTGCAGGACTTGCCCAGCTCTCCCCGAACATCAGCCGCTTTGACTCCTGCCTCTTTGGGCCTTTCTTGGCCGAGCACCTGCAGACGCCCGTCTTGGCCGCCGTTTCGAGCCTCGGCGTTGCGTGAGTCGTTGCGTGTTTGGCATTTCGTGTTTGCACTGAAGGTCATGGGGATGGTTTCTCGTTTTTCTGGTTGGTGGGGGGAGGATTTTAAAGGATCTTGAGATAAGCTGATTGTTTTTCTCAGTTGATTTTAACATGTTAAAGGGTTTAAACGCATGATTTAGTCAACATGAGCCCTATCTGGAAGACGATCGGCAAGGTTGCCGGGGATTTCACGGATGACTTCCAAGCTTGCGCCGCAAATCGATCGTAACGAAATACAATGAAATACATGAACGCCATGAGGACGCCCACAAGTGACTGTGAGTGTTGGGGATTGTGCAAAGAATTGGATTAGTGGATGTGGTCCACACGTACCTCATGGATGATCCACTCGGATAGCAGACGCTGATCGTCCCCACCACCCGTTCTGTGCATGGTTTTACACGTGGACTGGAAACAACACATCACAAAACCACCGGCCCTGTGCCTCGTTTGGGGAGGTGCTCAATTTGGACTTGCTTACGAGGCTGAACGATTGGTTTCAGTTTGACCACCTGGCCAAGAGCTATCACAGCATCTTCTTGACCAGTGGCCCTGATGGCGGGCCTGCAAGCCGGCAAGACTTGGAGGCCAGGGACACCAGAAGTGTCAAGCGGTGGGGCCTTTGTGATGCGAGGCACTTGGGGAGGCCCGGGGAGGCACAACTGGCCTGGTGGAAGACGCCCCTCACTTGGACAAAGGTCGCGGAACGGGGCATCATGTATTACTGCAGTAATTGAACCGTTCACAGCGGCGGCCAGCTGTGGTTGATTGAGGCAGGGTGAAGGGGTTGGAGAGCACCGCGCTGACTGATGGTGGGAGGCTGGGTGACCACTCGCCTGTGCACTTGAAGATTGACGATTGCAAACTCTCCACGGTGGTCTCCGCTCCAACTCCAAAAGGGCAATGCTTGTAAGTCCCCCACCTAAACCCCTTTGGTTGGATGATGCTGAGGTAGATTCAGGTGCTGGTAGATGAGTGTGATGCTGGCGTAAGGCTGGCCGTCCTCCACCGACTCCAGCGGCATGTCCAAGACCAGTGGGAGCGGTGGAGGATGGTGTCGCATCTCGCCAGGTCATTGCAGCCTTGCGCTCGGGATTTCGAGAAACCTTGGCTCAGTGGGTGGATGCTGCGGAGGAGAATCGCGCGCGAAGGGATGCACCGGTGGAGAGCGCATTGCATGGGACCGCCAGTGCTGGAGAGTCAAAGACTGCGGTCGAGTGTGGTATACTGTGTAGAGTATAGAGTAGAGTAGGGTGCTATTTGATGCTTTGAGGCATCCTCCCTACGAGATATGATATGCAGAATGGCACGGCTGGGGAGCTGATTACTTGGAAGATCTTGGAAGATCCGATGAGAGTTGAAGAGTTGACATATCCAGTTGGTGGTGTGACTTGGGCGTAGGATGAGTCATCATGAGGCTTGCTCAGGGGCCCCGTTGTGAATATCTATGCACTGTTATATTGTTGGTATTGTTTTTTTGGGTATACTATTTGTATTACATATATATATATATAAATGTGTATTGCACAATATGCGCGCTCCACAATACTCAACATATATACCCTGGGAGTCAACGACCATTTCAAAACTTGTCTTTCCGGCACCTGAAAGGGGACTTCCTTTACCGTAGGGAGGCAGAAACTCGTCTTTTGACTTCTTAGGGCATGCGTCATATATAATTATATAGATATGACTCTGACAAGTTTTACTCAAAAAATAGGATTTGATTGTTCTAGTGTCCTTCAACCCTGCCATGATTCTGCGCAAAAACCGTAAGAACCACCCGTACGGCGCGCGCCATCGTCCTGTGAGGATGCCTCCAGGACGGTCTTCGCTTCTGGATGTTTCGGTGTCTGAGCCGCAGCCGGTCGAACCGAGTCGTGAGAATGGACGGTGAGAACTGACGACATGGTGAGAACTCGAAGCAGGTCTTCTTTGAGCGGCATGAGGTGAGCAGTTTTCGTGGCCCATCACGAGTGGTTGTACAGATCCGACGATCCTCCGAAGAATTACGAAGACCAGGCCTGACAGGCTCCAAGGACTTAGTAGGGTCGTCACGGTCTGAGGATGTTCGTTTGGGTGAAGGCATTTCGACATGCCATCCTGAAATCAGAAAGCCGAAAACCAAGTCACATTGCCCCAAAAAACTGTTTCTTCAGGCCATTGCATTACCGAAGATGCTCAGTACTTCAACATCCGCTTGCGTGAGGGGCCAGGCCAAGGCGCGGTTTCAGCGGCCACCAGTGAAGTCGGTTCCGGGGGGGCCCCGATTCCGCGATGTGCCGATCCTGTGCCGATACTAGGCATGTCCCTGAACGACACCACAGCTGCTTTCCTGAGCGGCGCCATGAACTCCAAGGCCAATCCAAGCGGACTGACCTGCCGGACTGACCTGCTCGGAAGACCATTAGGATTCGGGGCCCGCCGGTGTCACTGGAAATAATAGCTCCGTTTCACCCTTGAGTGAAAGGGTATTATCGGGTATTATATATAATAAGTTTATGTTAGTTTGGCTTCAGTCAAAGCAGAACTATCCGCCGCCTTGTAGATCTTGTAGGTGAGTCAACAACACGACTGCCTTGATAGAGGTGATGCAGTGATGCCAATATAGAACGACACGTCGACAACAGAAAGTCGTGCGAGGGAAAGATAAAACCACCATGGGTTGTCCAAAACATGTTTAAAGGCACACACACGCACACACACGCCACTCTGTTACCCTCCCCATGATTGTGTTCTTGTCTCAGTATACTCCATACATTCTCTTGTGTTTTTTGGGATTTCCCGGAAGCTCCTTCATCTTTCGCAAGGCCTTCATCGAACAGTGCCATTGCAGCACTTTGAGCTGCAGTGATGGCTGTGCCCCTCGAAAGCTTTGGAAGGCGCCGAACGCACGGGAGAACCGTGAGCCGCGCACCGGTACTCACGGACGATGATGTCACCACAAAATAGTCCAATGAAAGTGCAGCTTTCTCGCCAAAAACCTCCGCATCGTCCCGGAATGCAGCTACAAAAGAACACATGAAGCTGGCGGTTCTTCCACCATCAAAACGCATTTGAGCCAATACGTGTGTGGGCACGCCTTCATCTGTTTTTTTCGCATAGATGCAAGACACACTGCTTGGCAGCAGAAAACCAACCCAGGGCCTCAGGGCCTTGCGGGTGGACACCAAAGGCATGCCACGATCGAACCAAACCCACAGGTTTACGATGTTTTTCCTTTGCCCAGTGGGTTTGAAAGGTGCCCTACTTTTGTTTGAGCCTGAGCCAGGGCCATGTGTGAAATATGGTATGGTAATTTTAGATCCTTTTAGCACATCGAGCACTCTTTAACAATGCACTTTGGACATGCCTTTTCGTTGGTACTTTGTCACTGTGCAAGTGGTTTTGGCAGCAACAGGCAATCAGGCGCTCCCAAATGCAGTTCCCGTAGCAGAGAAGTGCCATGGATCATATAATGTTGAGTTTTTAGGAGAAGAACCGAGATAGCCATGAGGAGCTGACTTCGGATGATCCTACTTTTTGTGGTGCATCACAGTTAGAAACCATGTAATCAGAGTAGGTTCCCCATGTTTCTACATGGGATTGGTCCGTTGTTTTGATAGATGAAGGTCCTGAAAATGAATACTTGCGCGTGTATATATATATATACAAAGATAGATTAGATTCGATTCGATTCAATTCGGTTCATAGATAGATAGATAGATGGGCAGATAACGAAAGCAGGCTTGAGACATCCAAAAGAAGAGCGAGTTCCAAACGCGCATCGCACGGTTTGAATATTGAATGCCACAAGCCCAATCTGGCCACCAGCAGGGCTATCTGCAGAGTTTGTTGAAAGAGTTGGCTTCAAGAATGGTTTCAACAGCAGATGAAAGGAACATGGCGGGAACATGTGTGAAAATTTCAACAACAATCAATAATTGCACATAATACATCATAATACATATATAACAACTTTATGTAAATTCATTTCTTGTTAATGTTACTATATAGTCCACATAGTCTACGGTAAGTGTTCCTCTATTTATTTCCCTCTTGAGATGCCACAGGTGATGCTGAAAGGCTTGGCCGAATATGTGTTGCTTCCACTTCTGCTGCTGTGTGGCTTGGCGACTACTTCCACCTACAGCTTCGCCAGTGTTGTTGCAGAATAGTTGGTAGTTGATTTGTTTTACTATTCAAATTATTTGCAGTTTGCCAGACTCTGTTGAGATGGCCAGTGACCTTAGTGAAACTGCTCAGTGCCATTTTCGATCAAAGGATGTGCATGCTCACGACCATGAAGGTGTAAAAAATGCATCGGACCTTTCCAGAACAGGTCTCCAACAAGTCCGTCCGGAGTCTGTCGGAAATTGAAATGGTTTGTTCCACCTGGGTGGTGACGATAGTGGACCAACATCCCAAAGGAGGCTTTCTTCAGCAGAAATCCACGTCCTCTCAGACACGTGCCCCTTCCACTGCAACACAATCTCAGCCGAAAACGAGGCCAAAAAAGAGGTTGAGCACCTGGTGCAGAAAGCAAAATCACACACACACACACACACCAGGACCATGTGTACCACTGACCTCTTGCTCCGTCGGGCATTTTCGGGTGCCTGGATCTTTTTTCAGGAATCTAGGCTAATCTGGGTGCAAAAAAGAACACACATCCCTCATTCCATGCACTTCGCACCACTTGGGCCCCCAACCCCCAAAAAAACGAACAACCCGCCAACGAGGTGTGCTGCGGCGCCTTTGCTGTTCCAGGCGGTCGGTGGAGCCACTCCTGGGAGCGCCAGGTGGGAACTGGGTCGAAGTAGACAGGCCAGCGGCCACAGCTGTTTCGAGAGTTTGAGGTGCTTGGTAGTGCAACAAAGGGGTCGTCTGGGGTGGGTATGCTTCGGTAAATGTACAGAGTGTTTTCATGATTTCACCTGATATGGGAACGCTGGAAACTCCCCCCGAACCATGGGTCAATGCACTTGCTTGGTGAAGGTTGTTGTCAGTCAGAGGAACTGAATACTTTTTTGTTTAAATAAATTTGCACCGCAGCATTGGTGCTATTCACCTTGTATAATGATTATATACTGTAATTAGTTTGTTTTGTTAATCTTGTTTCATTCGGAAGCAAGATTTGGGGTAGTGGGTAGCATTTCCCACTGAATGATCCGAATTGCAGGCTCAGTCAGTTGAGGCTCCTCATGCGTGAGAGGCGAACAAAAAAGTGCCAAGCCACAGGCAATGCACGCAGGTCGTGGGGAATAGTCGTGGAAGTGAGTGGATGGCACCACCTATTTGGTATGCGGAAAAGGGTCATCCAAGGTGCCAAGAAACAGGGCCATTGTCCACTTCCATGATGATTCCGGAAATGTATACCTGTATACCTCAAAACAAAGTGGTGGACTATAAGGAGATTTGCCAAGAAAGATTATTCAGGATTTGAGCCAAAGAGTTGCTTGGGGATATGGCAACGGGTTCAGGCAGTGGTTTAGGTGGAGGTTGGGAGAGAAGCAGATGGGACAAACGATGTTTATACATGTCATGGACTATGTATACTACATGGTAAAGGGATACTTCAACCCTCCAAAAGTGATCCCTGAAGTCCTGGAACTGAAATGCTTTTGCCATCATGGTTAATTAGCGGGTGTTCTACCACTGGCGTTCACGATCAGGTATAAGATATGGAGGTTGTGCAACCAACCATGGGCAAAACCCGATAGGTCTTCCGTCCATCAAATAGAAAGGTCTTCGAACAACGCAGGCATCGTCCCCACAGTGTGGCGCTACAGGGGCCCTCGGGGGATCCGGGACGCAGTGATGTGCTGGTCCAAGAGTTGCTTGTGAGATTCGTTCACCTGCATTTGGTGCCGTTTGCCTTCAACTTCCACGATGATTTGGAGCCATGCGCCACCTGGCCTGAACCTGAGAGATGCCCAACATGAGTTCTACAGCAATACCGGAGGGACAGAGCCAGCATCATCATCAACACCACGAACAGCACCGTCCACCTCATCCAAAGTATGCTTGAATCATTACAACTATAGTCGCATTGACTTGCACCCACCAAATCACAGGAATAGCAGCAAATCCAGCTCCCCTTTCCGCTCCTGGTGCTATGGCGTATCGAAGCCGCAGTCCTGCAAGGGAGTCTCCAAGACAACCCGCTCCATGGTCCGTACCCCCTCAGCAGCCCACCCCTGCGGCCGACCCCTACGCAGCCCACTACCACTACGATGACCGTGGTGCTTATGGCTATCCGGCATACCCGCCGCCAGGTGGAGCTGATCCATACTATGATCCATACAGGCAATACCCACCACCAGGCTATGGCTACTATCCACCCCCACACTACCCACCCTATGGCTATCCCCCTCCCCCTCCGGGCCCTGGCTTCCCTGGCTACCCACCTCCACATTATCCGCCTCCACATTATCCGCCTCCACACGCGCCCCAAGAGCCACGCCCCTCACAGAAGCCGCGCGAGGGGGGGAGGAAGAGGCCTTTGGAGGACCCGGAGATTCGCTTGAGCCTGGAGGAGGTCTTGCCCAGACTGGTCCATTATGCACAGGAACAAGAGGGAAGCCGGTTCCTGCAATGGAAGCTGGAAAGCTGCAGCAAGGAGGAGTCAGAGTTGAGAAATTCAGGGGAAGGTGGGAGGAAGGTGTCCATCCGCCTGCAGATTGGCATCTCAAAATCAGCCTTGTGTTGCACAATCTTTGTTTTTGATTCGGTCTTATCATGGAGGTATCTGCCCAAATTTGCTAGGAGCAGTCACGGATCTTTGAGAAGGCAGCGCCGGCAGCGAGAAAGTTGTCCAAAGACGCTTGGAAACACGTGCTGATCCAATGATTTTTTCTCCGCCTAACCGGGAAGCCACACTGACGGAAAGATCATCCTAACTTTAGTGGCTGATATGTGTTCTTTTCTTTTATGTTTCTGTCCTCCGCTTACTAACCACTAATTACTATTACCCTCTGCTCCACTGGTCAGGAATCTTTAATGATTATGTTATGTGTTTGTTTCTTTGGTTTTTGTGAGGTCCCTCAATAGCAAATCCAAGGATGCTTTTGGGAACTTTGTGATTCAAAAGCTGCTGGACAGCTGTTCGCGAGAACAGGCGGTTTGGGATCATTGGCACGAACAGTGGCAAAGGATTTAGTAGAATCAGCACACTAAGGTCGAATGATGGACATGAATGTCCAATGTGAGGACCTGACCTGACAAATTATTTGAAGCTGACATTCAAATCTATCGGGTTGGTTGGGGCAAGATAGTCGGCAAATCTATCTCCTCACCAACAGGTTCCACCAGTGGCTCGTGGGATCTCGTTTTGGCGTCTCTTGCTGCTCTTTTTGGTATGTTCATGCCCACAGGGTGTTTGGGTGGTTCAACTTTCAACTTCAACCTTCCAGCGTTGAAGTTGAATCCTGGAGGCACCGTTCCAGGAGCCCCTGGATCCAGCTGTGGGAATTCTCATTACTTTTTGCTCCCGACCTCCGAACTGTTTTGCCCGACGGAACGCCATCCCACCAGATGGAATGCTGCTTCTCCTTGGCAACCGAGAGCTTCTTTAGAGTTCTACTTCAACATCATCAGAAGCACATGTAATTTTATGAGAGGTAAAGCAGACTGTAGCCCAATGCTCAGACCAAACAGAAGGTTTTGATATGTCCAATGTGTTCTTTCTGTGCATGTTTGTATAGCAATCGTACCGGACCAAAGCTGTATTAAAGTTGCAAGACTTGGATGATTTGTTGGACCCAAACAGGCAATATAGTATGACCATGAGTCATAGACCATGAGCGCATTTACCCTCTCAGCTTGACCACAGTCTTTTTGATTGTTCACCTAGTACCGTCGCCTGCCAGGCAGCCTCTTTGGTCGCTCAAGTGAAGAGTGGTATCATTGACTTGTCCATGGACAAGTATGGCTGCCGAGTGGTGCAAAAGTTCTTGGAGACATTGCGAGATGAGGATTGGGATGATCTGGTCTCCCAGTTCTTTGACAAAGTCATCGATTGCATTGAAGATGCCAACGGGAATCACGTGATACAAAAAGTTGTGGAGAATATGCCCAGCAGTGGACATATCAGTTTTGTGATTCAGGCCGTGGCAAAACGTGCTGAAGACATGGCTCTACATCAGTATGGCTGCAGGATCATACAGAGACTGCTGGAGAATGCTGAGTTAGAGTCGATTGCAGGGATATTGGATCCCATTGTGGAGGCCACTGACAAGCTTTCAAAGGAGACTGAAATTGGCCCAGCACTGACCTTTTTACCTTGTTGGGTTTCCAGCATGGAAATATAAGTTGCACCCCTCAACAGGTAACGTAGATGTGTCTTGTTCATGTTTTTTGAGCAGTGGGCCATCGAGGACAAGCATGCCAACTATGTGATTCAATGTATTTTGGAGCGCGGGAGGTTGCAGGATAAGATCCGCATCGTGAAACTCATCACGGAGAAAGTCCTGGAGTTTGCAAAGAACAAAGTCTCCAGCAATGTGGTGGAACGATGTTTCGAGATCACCACTGTTGGGCCAGATGCTTGGATTGATGAGATGAGCAAATGCTGTTCTACTGGTCCCCAACTTCGGAAAGAATGGACCAACATGCACCGCCGGTTGGTCCAGGAAGGTCCCATCCAGTGTTTTGGTGTGTTTTTGTTGGTTCCTCCAGCTGCCGCAACAGCGTGGCGATGTCGCTGGGGAACCTCGTTCGGAAAAACAAACCACCTATGGGGACCAATGTTATATGAGGAATGCAGGTTTAAACGGAAAAATCATCCAGAAAAAGCACCTATGTTGTGAGTTGTGAGGTGCTTCGGCGTCCCGTGTTCTCCAACTTGCAATCCAACCACAGCACGTGCCGTGTGACCTAAACAACACAGCTTCCACCTCTAACGATCCTCTTTGGTCGCTCCGAAGTCAGCCAGGATGCCTCCAAACTGGTGGAGAATCGCACGGCTCTCATGTCAGCCGTTTTAGGCTCCTCTGGCGACACAAGGGCGCCCTTCGCCCAACTCATGACGGACAAGCTCGGTGCTCAGTTTGTGCCTTTGCTTGCGAGGTTCAGGCATGCAGAAGGTTCGGTTCAAAAATCTCCACTGTAGACCCACCAAACAGTGGAAATCCCGTTGGCCCATGGAACAGAGAAGAATCGCCCAATCCGATCAGGTTTGGCAACTACACGGCACAACGGATCATCGAGCACCTTGCTCTGAAAAGAGTGTACGTACCGCAGCAGTGTCGGATGAACCTTAGCTTGTTAAGAGGTGTGTGCTCGAACTCGACTGAATCTCAGGGAAATGGCCTTGCAAGGATGTTTGGGCCAGGAAGCGAATCGCTTCACCTTCCTTTGCTCCAGTTTTTACGAGTATCGACTTGCGTGCCCTAAGGTACAGTCGTGGTGAAGACTGGCAGGAGCTCAGACGCCGCGTGGAAGCGGTTCAAGATGATCTCAAGAAATCAGCCACAGGCCAGGGCGCACCTGTTGCAGGACTGGATGGTTTACCAGACTGCTTGGCCAGGTTTGGGCTTGTGGAGAAAACAAGTGTTTCTCCTGTAACTGTGTGGGCTATACAGTGAGAAAATAGAACAATGCCCAATGCATCCTGAAGCAAATCCTTTGGGTGTTGACATGCTGTTTTGACACAGGCTCCAAACAGGTGGCATCGATCTTATGCGGGTGGTCCGATGTTCCCGGCCTGACCCTAGGGGAGGTCGTGCATTGGGAGAAGCCACTCCGCAGGCAAACACATCCTGACAGCCCTCAACAAGAGGAAGAACCTTGGCCGGTAAAAATGCCAGAAGTGAGGGAAGAAGAGGGGAGGTAGGAGGTGAGCCACCACAGATCGAGCTCGGGTTTGCGAAGCTGCCATCAGGCGCTCAAGCCCATTCAATATATATGCGAATATGCATATATACCAATAATGCACAATCATATAATATTATAGTAACATATAATATGCACATGGATCGAGTGAGTGGTTCTTTGACTGTCCGAGTCCATGTTCTGCCCTTTTGTTCATATTGGTTAACAAGTTGATATCATGGTTATGCCTTGGGCCTTGGGCCAGTGATGAAGGCGGAACTACTTTTGGGGCAGAGGCTGCAGGCTTTTGAATCACTGCCAGTTGGGCCTCCCATATCATGAGATCGCTAAGGAATAGACGCACTTTACAAGGGCCCAATCCTCTCAGGACCCAGCTTCAGTCCTGGAGTGGATTGCAGGATGTTGCAGGACCAACTTCGACCCACAAAAATTAGGGTGGCAACATCCCAAAATAAGAATGGTTCAACCACCCACCTTCGCTGCAGCCTTGGCGCACTGAGGAAGGCAAATGTGTGAGGGGCCTGTCTCAAGTGCCCATGATTGGCGTTCGCACGGAGAAAGAGACACCAGCTTTGCTTGGGCAGCTTCATCTACAACCTCCATCCTTAAGACTCATCCCCCACCCCCCATCTACAACCTTCATCCTCCATCCTAGCTGACAGAACTCGCAAAGACTTCTTTTATAGTTCAGTCAAATGCATGCTTAGATCAAGTGACAAGCGCATCCCGTCACAGAGCAAACTTATGTTTCTCCGAGGTGGCTGGACGTGGCATCGACTGCACTTTCAGCCGTTCGTTTGGTGTCGCTCCAGGCGTGCCACCTTCCGGGAAGGTGGATGGTTTTGAGGTGGAAATCCGTTTCGACATGCAAATCTCATCTACAAACCATGAATCAATCTGTAATCATCTTTTGCCTCTTGATGTTGTGAAGGTTCTATTTAGCTTAAACAGGGAAAATCAAGCAATGCCAAGTGACACCATGAACACTTTCGGCGAGACATGACGACACCATGCGCATTTCACCGCCGATCTGGGGACGATTGCGAGCATTTTTCCATATTGGACACTCAGTACGACCAAGCCTTGACCAACGACGCCTTTAAGACTGTCCGCACTCTGACAGAACAAGCGTATGTGGGCAGGGACGAAGAATCGCCCTCCAGCGTATGTGAGCCGGTGAGAGAAAAAGCCGGTGCCTTCATCCACCCCATATGGGACTTCATCATACATCCACCCAGCCGTCACAAAGATTTGGCTCGATAGATAGATAGATAGATCTGTTTAAGTTTTCTTCGTGAGAAGCTTATAGAACGTGACCTTGTCCTGTGCCCTATATGCCCTATAGAAGTTGGATTCTGCAGGATCACTGGAGGCACACCGGAACACCTGGCTCACCTTTTGGCGCGGTGACCGCAAATCCGGTGAGGTGCACTACCCAGAACTGCAGCCTCTCTTCGTGGATCTCTTGGATGTGCCACTGGTGAGCTCCGTGGAGGCCCCGTCCCGCCGTTGGGTGAAAAAGAAAATCCGTGGTTTGGGATGTGACTTGCGTGCTGGATTGATTTGATTTGTTGGCAGAATTGTTTGACAGATGGTTCCTTCGCTTGGTTGATGCAGAATTTAACAGCGCTTGGTTGACGCGATCCTTGCGCCACGGCAGCCCGGTGTTTCACACCGCTTCTCCATCGCAGGTCCGCGAACGCTTGCGGGCAGCTGCGCAGGAGCACCTTTGGGGCCTGGATGGCGGGTTCCCATTTGTGACGCCAAAGTGCTTCAAACATCTTCGACTCTCATTCTCGCATGTTTTGTACTTTGGAGGGTGGCTCAAGCGTTTGGCAGGAGAGGTGTTTAACAGGCTGGAGACCTATTCCATGTATTGTCGTAGTGCGGAAATCCAGAGAAATCAGCTGTGAGCTGGGAGACGTCCCCATGGAAGGAGTTTTGATCAATTCCTCCCCGCTTGGGCAGAGCTTGGGGGAGCTTTTCTCCTACCAAAACCATTCCACTGTCATTTAGTCATTTAGTGTTAATTTGCTACTTGAACTGTTCATGCCTGCAACAGTCAGTCAGGCATGATGACTTTTTGTGAAGGCACCTTCAGCCAGTGTTATAGTGATTAGGGTTGACCATAGATGATCATGTGGATGTGGCTCAATCATGAGACGCAGACATTTGCCGAAAAACTAAAAAACAAGACTGTTGGTCGTTGGTCATGTTTGTTCCCCTCGGGGCAAACCCAGTCGTTTGAGCCAGTGCAACCTCGATGAACAGGGCTGGGCTGGAGATGTGGGCCGCGGCGCATCAGGCCACAGCCGAAGACCCAAGTGCTCTCTTGGATGCGTGCGCTGGCTGCGCTGCTGAACTGGAGGATTTTGCAGCAAGTTGTTCAAAAGTTGGTGGTGACCTTTTGGTGTGTCCTGGCATTGGTATGTCTTATATATATATATGTCATACATGTTTGAAATAGTTTTTTTTTGTCATTAATTACTATGACTGTTACTTATTTGTTGTCCTGTTGTGTCAACAAATCAGAGCTGCAAATATGTTGCAGCGTCACGAGTCACGCTGTACAAGGAATTGACAGTCAGCCAGGGTCTGAGTTGAGTGCCGGCTAATGTGACAGATTCTTTGTTCAACGCGTTGACTGTGCCTTTCCATTTGACGATTTGGTCGAGGAAGGCTAATCGGGCCTAATAGTTCAAAGCCATTGCTCATTTTGTATGTTTTGGGCCGGGCGCGGTGCAAATTGATTGGACTCAGCACGCACATAGAGACACCATCACAAATTCATGCAGTTTTGTTGGTAGGTTGACATATAATTGGACAGCCACAGCCAGAGTTTTCACCGGCCGAAGTGTGGCAGGTACACCTGCTTGGACCATTTGTGTAAGCGTGGGGCAGAAGAAGATGAGGACTGCTGGTGCGGAGTCGCTCGGAGTGCTCGGAGCTGCGGAGTCGCCGGGAGGTGCTCCGGTGAGATCCGGTGACAATGGAGATCGCCAGGTGTAGCATGTTTGTCCGTTTTCTTGGGCTGCCGCGTCCGAGTCCGTTGAAACTTTGTTAGACCATGTGACGATGGGAGTGTTTCTATAGAGCATGCGAAGAGACCCTCACTAAAACTGAAGGAACCTGTACACATCGCAGACATGTTGTATTCCATTGTTGGCGCATGACCTGCAATATTTGGTCCAGATTCTTTTCACAGGACATGGCCCTACACTACCTGAGAAAGGATTTGGCGGAAGTGATATTCCTGCCGGGGCACTGAAGAAACAACAGATTGAGGACTGGTCACCGTGGGAAGGATTGTGAATGCATTGATCACCAGGGGCCAAAAGAAGGGACCATGTGAGAGATCGTAGATATTTGCTGATGGGACCTCACGCTTCTTTCTCGTGGCAGCAAATGAAAAGGATTACACTCCCTGGAATCATCATGGAAGTGAAAAATGCCCCCCCCCCGTGGATGACAATTTTCCGCTACAAATCCGTAGCTTTCCACTTTCCACTTAATGATTCCAGGGAGTGTAGCGCTGGGGCACTGAGTTGATGCGAGGGCGAGTTGAATACACATTGACACGCGTTACATCGCCATTGATGGCCTTGTTTGTGCTCTCCCGAGAATGCTGCGGGCAGGGGGTTATAGTGTTCAAGACTTGGGTTGCAACTTGGGTTGCAAAGTTCCTGACAGACCTCTAGTAATCTCACCAGCTGGATTGTCAAGATGACTTGGTCTTCACCAGCTGTAATTGAATCGTTCTCAGACTCGGACGAAAGACCTCAAAGAGGCCTAGGGTGGGTTCATCCCTAGAGGCACTGTTCACACTTGGATGCCTATCGTGAATCAAAAGGGTCAGAATGCCCTTGGGTCCTGGCTTTCCGAATCGTTCGCCGGCTCTTCGGTTCTTTTCCGCTGGGCGCTGCCCAGATGGGTGTGGCTGGCAAGCCCCACGAATTGGGATGCAGCTGTGGGCAAGCCTTTGGCACTAGTGACTACAGTAGTGGATGAAAGTGGCCAAGAGCCGAGAACCAAGATTTGACAAAAGAGGTAGCACAATCTGGAACTACCTTCAGCCAACCAGAGTGAACCCTGTGAAGTCAAAGTTGGATATATTGGCATTTTTGCTTGCTGTGACACCATTTGTTTGTTTTGGGGAGTGTTGATTATTTATGTGAGCTGCAGCCTGGGCGACATTCATGAAAAGAAGCCCATTGAGATATCTCGAGAGGTTCATGATGCACAGTGCACTGCTGCAAAAGCAGGTTCTCCATAGTTTTCAACCCCACACGCAATTCATTCCTAGTGACTCCAGCCACCACTCCAGGAAGAGGGGTGACACCCAGGGCCACACCAGGAAGCCCATGGAAGCCCCGATTCCTAGGCCGGGTGCCACAGAAGCCTCAAGCCCTGAGGCCGCCTCGAGGGTTGGACTCGAGTCACCAGAATCGAGTCCAAAGGAGATGTCTCTCGTCGTCTCTCCTAGTGATTGAGATGAGTTATTTGCCTTTGTTGACGGGCTCTTTAGAGGCCAAAATGCCGGTCGACGAGTTTTGACTTTTGTGTGATCATTCATTCATTTATCATCATGAGAATCTCCCAGTATTCAGTCCCAAACCATGGTAAATGATCACAAACCTGAATTTCCCAGTTAAATCATCATTCATTCACCATGAGAACCAAACCATGGTTCTCCCAAACCTGGATTCATTTGTGTGCTCTCTTTTGTTTCACTCGATCTCTCCGCGGTTTCTGGGCTCCAGGGCGACCTATCGTTTGCAGCAGGAGTTGTTTGCATCCTGCCGCGGACCCACCTCGCCGGCATAGTACCTCGTGACGCCGGCGCCCAAAGATTTTGTAGCCCAGCATGCCAGAAGCTGACCAACTCGCGGAGGAAAACCAGCGGCTGAAGAAGGAGAAGTCGGAACACGCAAGTCGGAGTCGAGGCGGTCGAGGCGGTGGTGTATGGAATTTCATGTAACATTGATATCATTGGCTTATAATTGGCAATCCAGACTAAGAACCATTCCTCAGATTTGGCTACTTACTGGGGTCTTCAGTTGTGCTGCGAATTCTTCGAACACACGCCGGCGATCCCATTCCCATGCACGTTGACATGACGTTCCATACCAGAAGGTCACATCGTTGATGCTGACATTGTTGGAGCGGAGGGATGTCGACCGCCTAGAAGAGTCGATGAACTTCTTCAGGAGCTCAAGAACCTCCAGCAGCAGCGCGAGAAGGAGAAGAATGAATTTGAATCTTGGTGCATCCCAGTTACAGGCGTTGATCATTGGATGACTATGCAATTCCCACTTGCCACACTTAGACTGGTGAAGACATTTGTCTATCACATAGGACATGTTCAGACATGTTCGAACAATGCATCTTGTAATTATCCGGGCATGGATTGAACATACTCGTACATTGCCCCAGTATATGCAATACAACACAATTTTCGAGTGCTTCATAAATGCTAGATATTTGTGTATACATATATATATATATATGATGTTGTCTTTTTTTGTCATTCTTGAGGATCATGGTCGTGCAAAAGAGATGGTCAGAATTCCCAAGGAATGCTCGGAGTCAGAATGTCCATGAATTCCCATAGTTTCTGGCGTTCTCGTTAGCATCTTCTCGACCCATGTGGTTGCCCCATGTGGTGCGATCCAAGGAAAGCAAGATCGCCTCAGAGCGCGAAGCGGGAAAGGGTCATCAAGAGTCCGCGATGCAACGAACTCAAGAGTGCCTTGGATGAGAAGCCAACATGAACGGAGAACGTGTTGGGCCTGAGCACGTCTCGCCACAAACAAGATGTATAGTACTATGTAATGGTAAGATCCGAACAACGGGGAAGGTCTAAATGTGCATGGCTCCACTTGTCCTTTTACTCCTGGGTGACTGTGCCCCTTATTACCTGACAGCTTTCACGTTGAAGTGATCCTGAGACATCATGAGTCAATGAGCCCAGTATGATTTGTGACTGATGTCATTTTAAGTAAGCAAACTGTTGGATGCACTGCCTCCAAGATCCTAACCCCTCAGGTCGACTCCAACAAATACTGCAGGTGCAGCATCATGTGCATGGTGCGGATTGTTTTTTTTGTTTTTTTTTTTTTTTTTTCTGAAGGCAGCACAACATCAAAAAAAGAAAAAAAACAAAAGTGTCGCACATGCCTGTACGATTTTTTAAGATAATATATAGTTGATGATAAAGCTGCATTTGTGTATGAACATGGCTGTATAATGGCTGCATATCAATATGTTTGACCCCAGGATTATTTTTCCAAGGGTTCGATGATAGTAGACCTGGTTTTTGGTTGGACACCTCAGAGAACTCCAACGGGCTAAAGCGACCACCGGGAGTCGAGTGACTTCAGGTTGGAAGCCATGAAGAGCAACTGGGCGGCAAGGCCAAACTGGGCCAACTGGTCATGTTTGCCTCGAATCAATCCCATATGAAGCGATGATGGTCCCTTGTTCCCTTCACTGGCCGTTTGGATTTTCCGGCGGACCACGGCCCTGCTTTTTGTGCTTGTCCACTTTGGCGGTCCACTGTGCCCAAGGCAAGATGGTCAAGTTGACCCGGCAGTTGGACGAGGAGGTCCAAAAACGCGACCAAGTCTCAGCTGAGTCACAACAGCTGGAGAGAAGACTTCAGGACCGCGAGCGATTCACGATTCGGAGTGATTTTCCTGTTGTACAGCTGTGAGACAGCTGTTGACACTGCTCAAAAGATTCCTTCACTGCTAAGATGAACATGGCTACACTATGCTGCACTGATCCGTGCTCATGGATCTCATGGCTGATTAAGGCTCTCATGAGTTTTGTCTCGGCAAGCGTGCAAACAACCGGCAACTATACAAACCAAGCAGAAAAACTCATGAAAGTGCTCACTAAATCCTCATCCCGGTCTTATTTACATGCTATTTAAATCTCCTTAGACCCCTCCTGTGCCCCATCCCTGTGGAGTGCGCCCCAACTCGCATCCCTACGTTGGCACCGCCCGTGCCGGCCCCGGCCGCGGAGGACTTGACCAAAGGCACCGCGGGTGCCGTCCCGGCCTCGCCGACCTCGGGGACCGGTGATGAGCAAGCGCTCCGAGAGCGTGGGAGCCAGGTGGGAGGACCGGGAGGATCGAGGGACCGAGTATCCCCGGTAGGTCGGCCGGTCTAGGTAGGTAGGGTAGGTCTAGGTAGGATTAGGTGGGCCTAGGCCCCCTCAACTTGTTGTTTGTGCGGTTGCTAAAGTTAGAGCTGTTTGTGCTGGGGTACGTGCTTTTGAGAGGGTGGCTTTTCCCAGTTGGCTTAGTTTGTTTCTTGCGTGACCGAGTGACATTTGTTGCGTTGCAGGTCTCGACCAAGCTCATGCGTGTGGTAGATCAGCGACTTGATTGCATGACGAATGACCTTGCCATGTATGATCACATTTAATAGAGCCAAACCTTGGCTAAGGTTCCTAGGTGGTCAGTAGAGCTTGTCGATCAACACTTACTCGTCTTGTGACTCAGGTGGATGCGGCAACGGGACTTGCAACAAGCCTTGCTTCGAGGGGCCTCGATCAACGACACGGCCTTTGCAACCCTTGTGCAGGCTTTGAATGATTGCCCATCTTTGCAGACCCTCGACCTGTCTCAGACCCTTGGGCTGAATCAGGCAAAGGCTACCATTGGTTGCTGAACGGTTGTTTTACCGTTATATAGTTATATACTTTTTTGATTTGCCAACGTTTTGCTCAGGAATTTGTTGACCATGGACTCTTGCTCTGACCTTTGTCAGCTCATCACCACGGCCCCTAGCTTGTCCTTCATCTCCCTCGCGGAGAACTTGTTCTCGCTGCGGTCAGTGGGCTACTTTATGACTGCAGTGATGGAGCGGCAGAACACCAAGAACCTCGGCCTTTCCTCGCTCGAAACGAAAATTACGGTTGGATGTTCCAAAAGTCGGGCTTTTGACATCAATATCGCTTTGTTCTTGCATGGGTTCAATCGAGCCTGGCGACCGTTCATGAGATAATGAGATCACACAGATGGCAATGATGAAAAGAAGCTTTAGCGTTAGTTTGACAAGGCTGGACAACAGCTTCACCCCTGAACCTGCGAAATGCCCCAAAGCAGGGTTGAGGTGCATAAAAACCTTGTGCATGCGGGGCCAATAATCAGCCGACTTCAGCCACCAGCCGACTTCAGGAAGCTCATGCCGTTGGATCTGTTGGACTTGCAGGGTAACGAGGGCCTCATCGCTGCAGCTGCGGCCCCAGTGCCGGAGGCCTTGCTGAGCCAAGTGCAACAGGCGATGCACCGCGCGGGACGCTTACCACCCAGTGGCGTCGAGTTGGTTGCACAGGTCATGAGGGCTTTGTGGCGATTCCTGCATGACACAGCTCATCCACAAGTGAAGGATGCAAGTCCAGATGATGTGGCATTCTTTGTGATGGATAAGATCACCTTGCGGAAGATGGAGAATGCGCTCATGAAGATCTTGCTTTTAGGCGCGGAGCCAGCAAATGCACACAGCATTGCTTTGTTTTTTCATGTGTTCTTCGATGAGCTGGGTTTGATGCCCTTTTGTTGGTGTGTTGAGCTCTCGAGTTCAATCCCGGATCTCCAAACTTGTGGAGGAAGGCGCTCCACTGGATTCTCTTAATTGGCGGGGGCAGTTGTAACTGGAGTTATTGCATCCCAGTCAGCCAGATACCTACGGAAGTTGAAGAACTTTGTGGGACTTGTCACATAAACCCGCCTAGACTCTATGGTCCCACAAGGTCTTTGGGACCTCTCTTGGTCGTCGCACCCGCCTGTCCCGTACATCCCACGAGATTCGCCACCTGCCACGCCCAGGTGCCGACACCGCCATGGATGCGGGCTCCGTGCAGTATCGCCCGGTGACCGCCAATTTGGCTGCTTGGATGTGAGTTCGGGTCCCGGTGCACGCGTGCAGGCGTGCAACCGGTTCGGCCAACAAAATGAGCAAACACTGGCCTAAGCTTCAGGTTCTCGACTTTGCAGTTTCGGCTTTTCGTTTTGAATTCCATGGACTCTTGGGCCGGAACTCGGCAAGCAAGTCCGCAAACCAGCCTAGGGCCAAGCTGGTATGCAGTTTCACCTAAGGTCCCAAACATAACCTGCCAAACTCTGGAATGCATTTGCTTTCTTGTTCTTTGAGGATATGTTTTCCCATGTATGGTCACGGAACGCCCAAATCTTCTCCCCATGGATTGGATGCTGAGAGAAGCAATGGACACAACCTAGCGTTACTAAGGAACTTGGTCAAAGCCAGTGGATTGTGAATTCTTGATGGATACTCCGATCCTTTCAACATGAACTCCACTTCTTGTGTTACCCCAGCAATGCCAGCAACATCTAAAAAGCGAGAAACCAGGTACAAGGTTGGCAAAGGTTACACAATTAGTATTATACATGAAAACAACCTTGCACCTCGAAAGATATTCCATCGGCGGTCCTTCGATGTCCTGAATGCATGTCCCTGTTATATATACAGGGAGAGGATTTCCAATACAGGTGTTGTGGGGATCTACTTCTTTAGTTTATTAGGGGGGTTCTATATAAGCCTAAGGGTGGAGATCGCTAGTAGGTTGGAGGCCATCGCTACTAGGGTGGAGGCTATCGCAAATAGGGCGGAGACCATCGCTACTAGGGTGGAGGCCATCGCTCTTTGGGTTCTATTTATGGTTTTGTTGTGTTTTGTCGTGTTTTTTCTCCACCACTCCTTGGCCTGAGGCCTTTGCCTCGACCCTGGAGGTTGCTGAGGACCCTCGCGTCCCTGAGCAGGTGGCGCGTGAGGACCGGAAGCAGAGCGGCTACGCCTCGCCCACGGTGTCGCCGCAGAAGCCGAAGATGAGCACACAGGAGGTGAGGAGTTGGATCGGAACTAGACTAAGTAGGTCGTTTTTTTAGATATAGGATGGTATAGGGAGTGGGTTCTGCCTTTTTGGTTCCATGAAGTTTAGAGGATCGATCAGGGATCTTGATGATTCTTACAATTCAAAAGGTGGGGACAGGAGACCATCAAGCGCCAACAAAAGAGTAGGGGCCAAATGCTAAGCGAGCCAAGTGGAAGATGGGAACTTAGGCATGCGGCATCAGAAACCCCTGTGTGCTTTTATCACTGCCACCTCCCTATCATGCCTTGGCTTCTTCTTCCTCGCTTTGTCAGAATTCTCGGAACCAAAGCTAGTTAAATCTAATTAATCCCAAAGAGATGTTGGAGGGCAGAGGGCATATCTCACATCAAATTCGCGGCTTGGAGTGTCCGAAGAATTCCAGATCCTCAGGTCCTCAGGTCCCACAGAACACACGTGGCTGCCAGGTGAGGACTCAACCAACAGCTGCTGACCCCTTCGCCGACTTGAAGACAGCTTTTGAGCCACAGCGCCACTTGCCTTCCCACTGACCCAGATATTCATGAAACATGTTCCACAAGCCTAGCAGCTAAGGCCTTTGTCCCCCTGAGTGCCCAAACCCGGCACAGGTCTGGAAAATGCCCTTGAGCTCCAGAAAGGGAAGTCAAGATCGATATCTGAAGACTTGCGAGTCTGATTGAGCTCGACCTTAAAATCAGGTGAGAAGCTCAAGACCTTCAATCTGAAGCAGATTGTCACCCGGAATGGCACTGTGCTCATGAACATGCTCGAGCGATTGCTGGAGACCACCGAGATTGATGCACGGGACGTCGAGACAGAGTGCCCTGACGAGAAAAGAATGGTCAAAGCATCGACTGGGGCGGCTGGCAGGGGAGGCGAAAAAATGCACATTGTGTCAAGGAAGTAGTTTATAGCAGCCCCAAGGCCTCAAGGGGGATCCCTTTTTGTGTCCTTTTTGTAAGAATGATTTCCACTCAAAGACCTCAGGGAGTGCAACCCACCGAGGCAAACCTTGTTGGAGTATGCCTGCCACACTGGCAACATGGGCCTGGCCAAGCTTTGCTACCGCCGTGGCGCCAACTTATCGGCCAAGACGCAGAAGGGAGAGACCGCCTTCAACATCGTGACGCAGAACAAGCGCTATGATCTCATGGAGTTCTTGCACACCTATGGCGTCAAGGCAGGAGGACGGTCCCGTGTCCTGTCGACATGTGACCTGGTTTCTGTGCATTCTTCCGTCTCAAACTGTAACAGGAAGTCACAGTGGAGCAATCTTTCCTTCCGGAGAGTGTCCTTTCCGGCCGGTACGACAGCTACATGACTGAAACAAACGGTCTAAAAGCCATTGAACACTCCCAGACACTTTCCAGAGTTTGAGGGCCCAAGCCTTTCGATCCTGCAACCTACACATAATTGAACCATTGTATCCTAACAAATCGCACTTCTCTCGTGCATGCTTCTTTCAATTTCTGTACATAAAGGACGCCCAGACAGTGCCCAGTTTAAGAACCGACACCGATTCAGTGGATTCGGAGTGGCAAACTCACCCAACTGCAATCTGAAAACAGATGCCATGGCTTCCTTTTGTGCACAACTGATTGAAATCGAAAGAACGCCACATCTGAGAACAGTCCAATCCCTTGCACAAACATGGACATGTCCCAATTGGTTGGGACGAAAGACCCGCTCCCCGCGGCACGTGTCGGCGCTCGAGGTGAACAGTGCGGATGCCAAAGGCCGCACGGCTTTGCACGTGGCGGCCGCCAACGATGACGTGGACGGGGTGTGCCGACTCGTGGAGTGGGGAGCTGATGTGAACATCAAGGACTGGAGAGACTGGCGCGACGAAGATCCGTCGTTTTTGGGCACAGAGAGCAGGGGTTTAGGTGTTGTGGGAGTGGTTGTTGTTCAATGAATGGCCACATGCTCATGATAATGTGACTTCCTGCCTGCTTCTTGTTCGTTGAACATCCTTTGGGCATGGGTGGCCCCGCTGGCTAGAGCTGGGATCATGCCAACTGGACGGGGTGTCATGCGGCGTCGTGTTCGGTGGATTTCCCCGGAGATCGGTGTTGGGTCGCCCAGGTTTCTGTGACACTCCACAGTGGTGGGCGGGGCACTTCTTGGCCCATTGTTTGGCTGGTGATATTGGCAGACTCGGGCTGGTGGGTTTTGATTCTTTTTGGTAGCTACACTGCGCCGATGCCAAAAGTTAAGGGTTTTGAATCCGGGAGTTTCTTAAACTATGTATTGCTATGCTCTAAGTTCGCCAACATGCGCACAGTCTCCAACTCTTCAGTCTCTAGATGGAGAGCCACACCCCAGTCTCTAGCCGAAGAATGATCAAGTTACACTCCAAGGGCACCCTCCGACTCACTAACATGGGAAGTGAAAAATGGATCCTTGGAAGACGATTTTCCTTTACAGACAGGGTGGTTTCCACTTCCATGTTCGTGAGTCGGAGTGTAACGCAAATGCCGTACTGTAGGGCCTTAACCAATCTCCAGGATGACAAGAAGCGGACGCCCATTCACGTTAGTGCGGCCAGCGGCAACATGAAGACCACCATGCTGTTGCTGGAGGTAGGTGCCGATATGACACTCAGCAGTGGAGGTGGCGCCAATCGTGGAACTGGGGGATGGGAGCAGGAGATAGAATCACAAATGTTCACCTGACAGTGTCAGCGGCAATCCGAGAGAGATTTGTGATATGCTGATAAACGCGTGTTGCGTTTAGGTGTGTTTGTGCGCGAACTTTGCCGATGAGTATTTTTGTTTAGCTTCCGATCGATCGGGATCCAACTTGACTCCAGGTCTTGAAGGGAGTTCAAGCCACTTACCACGATGAACATCCATTGAACAGACCAGCACCATTTATTGGTTTTGAAGCGATGCCATCCGTTTTGCGCAATACTGTCAAAGCTAGCTGCTAGCTGCTCCAAGGAATGCCAAGGATGACCGCGAGTACACGGCGGTAGCCCACGCAGAGGCGAACAATCACTTCGTGCTCATGGATGCCTGGATCGGTAATTATGTGAATTGATGAGCTGATGTCATGTGGGGCAGATGTTGCAGTTGCATACGTCAAATCACCTAAAGAACCCAAAGGAGCAATGTGATTTCAATCATCACTGGTGCTCGGATGCTCTTGTGTGATCCACTCAACTTGAAACATAAATGGTTTCTTCGATTTTCTTAGTCTCCTCGAAGCCATTTGTGGCCTTTGATGGTAGTCGTATGTTGTTCAACCAAGAGGGTTCCACCAGATTTGGATGACCCAGATTCACCTGGAACCGGACTGAACCTGCTTCAGCCAGTCGCATGCACCAGTGCTCCTGGTCCAGACATCTGTGGAGTAGCACGTGGAAGCGCAGCCCAACAGCGCTTTGTTCGCGTAAACCGAGGACCGGCTGGTTCAACTTGGAGGACGGGGCCATGGACTCCACCAAAAGAAGGAGAATGATGCTCGGTGAAGGGCAACACGCGTCTGATCCGACAAGCGGCGGGGAGAGATGAGATTCTCCTGGGGCGATATACCAGCGACTGGTATTTCATGGTGGGTTACTGGTAATTACGCCATGGTATTTCTATAAGAAAGATATGGAGTCATAATGGATTCATCCCGTGTTGGTCAACTGGAGGCAGACCCCCCCACCTGCTGCCATGGCCAATCCATCCAAAGAGCCGATCCCAGCACTAACAATGCCTCTTTTAGTAGGTCTATCATTGAATTGTTCGTGGTCAACGATGCAAGGCATGGCGAAAACGAATCGAGACTGACAGTCTGGTTCATGCATTTTCATGCCAGATTATGAGGCATATCATAGGCCGCTGAGAAGATGTTTGTGTTTTCATACTGTTTTTGTTGGTTTATTGTGGTCTTGATCAACTAAAGCTGATTTGCTGTGGGCTAGATAGGCGAAATGCCTTCATGACATAGAAAAGTCATTGTTCATCATCACCCTTGGCTCTGGGCGACCTGTCTTTGAGGACATGGCCCGATCCAAATCGGCCAAGATGATCGGTGAGCTCGTGGTGTCCGCGGGCTTGTTGAAGCGATCCTCCTTGGGCCGGATCGGTAAGGTCTCAGTGCCTCGGTGAGACGATGCTCCACTCGATCCGATCCGGTCGACCGAGACGATGCACCAGCGGTGAAGAGATGGGGGGGTTTTGGTGTGACTTGGAGAGCCAGGAGTCGTGACAGACACTCCTGGTTTTGAACATGTTTGAACTCCTGGCAGAAACCTGATAAAAATGAAGCAAAGCACGCGTTTTCCATTGTCCACCGCACCGTGTCTGTCTTGACACGCACAAGGGGATGTCCGGCCCGGACGTGAGGTGAAGGGGATGTCCGGCCCATTGCAGCCGGCGCCCAACACCAAGCAACTTGGCAATTCGCCATGGCAGATGTGGTGAGCGTTCGCTACGGAAGCTCAACGGGTAGCCTCAGCCTCCGAGAGCAATTTATAATTTACAATATATATATATATATATAGTAGACGTTCTCACAACCCTCTTTGGAACAACGGGGTCAACGGGGGTGTCATTTTCTTGAGCCGAAGTGAGAGAGATAGAGAGAGAGCCGAAGTGAGAGAGATAGAGAGAGAGAGAGACAGGGGCAAATGGGGATCAAGCAAGCTGCAGCAAACACAGCCACCATCTCAGGTAGAAAGCGCCAGCTCGTCAGACTGAAAGGAATTGACGTGTCATGACTCGTGTCACAGCGCTGTGCAGCATGGGGACTGGGTGTTGTACCATTCGCCTGACCGCCACCGGGTTCAGGACCGAGTTTTCCAAGAAATCTTGGCCTTGAACTTGACAGTTCGGCCGTCGTTTCACGGACCTTTTTGCATTCCGCATCCGACCATCGGGGCCACCCATCCAGACCGGAGGCCCAAAAAGCTGCGTGTCTATCATCAAGGGAGGTGATGTGTCCCGGGGCACTCGCTTTGCAATCTGAACATGCAAGATACTGACGCCATTCTGCTTGATTATGCTTAATTGACTGAAGATAGCTAATTATGCGAGAAGCCAATGTCAATGACCCGACTAGCGATTGTACTAGCATATTATTATAGCATCGATAAAGCTGTGTCATGCCCTCCAAACTTCCGGCCTACTTTGCGCAGTGCTTCTTGGGTTCTTTTGTTGGACCATCTTGGACACAAGAACTATTGACACAGGTTGACACAGTATCCTAATAACAAAGGGCATCGCTACTAGGAGCAAGAAGTATACTGGTAGCTCCTGGCCATACTAGCAACATCCAGCAACAAGAACGCTACTAGTAACAAGAACGGGATGACACAGTACATGAGATACGTGTTGTTCCCAAATAGTTCCAGATCCTTCACCGAGTTCGAGGCCTGCGTGTTCCTGCCGCCCGAGCAGCGCGGTTTAGCGGAACGGTGTGGCAAGCAGGATCTCGGTACGGCTCCCTGGAACGGCTTCAGGGCTGTCAGCCGGCTGTTTTGAGGCTGGAACGGCCGTGTGGCGTTGCCGTTGTGTGGCATGAGTCAGCATGTGGAGGGGGCAAGCAGGTCCATACGCAACATGACGAATGAAAGCACTGAAAGACAAGAGAATTACCGTACGCTGTACCTTTGTTGCACAGACCGGTGTTAATTGGTTGTCCCCTGAGCCTATCACGGACCTCATAGTGTTTGAGGATGTTTGGGGTACGTGTTGACAACCCTATAAGCCTGCGAACCCCCGCTCAATCAAACTGTTTTGAACCTTGAAGGTTTTATTATCACTCCCTTTTGTTCCAATGGAGGCGGCAGGGGCTTTCCGTGCAGGGGCTAGATTGGATTCTCATCATTTAGGGATATTCAAAAGGTGTTCAGAATAGTTCTCTTGCAGTGTCAATGCTTGACCTCGGCAGTCATGGCTTCCAAATGAACATCCCAGACCTGGTTAACTACCACCCCAGCCCGGCTCGCCCGCATCCTCACCCTCGGCTCAGCGGCGAGTGCCAACTGAAGGAAGGGTCCCAAAGGATGGAGTCTTCCTTGATGAATGAGTTTGACGAGCATGACGCCTGGACTGTTTGTGTTTGTCCAGCGGCGTGTTTGTGTTGAAACGAGAGTGAGGGAGAGTGAGGGATGCGCTCGCTGTCTTCAGTCCAGCGTGTAAGGATCGATTGGAGAGTGAGCGGGGTCCCATGCCTTTTTCGCCGGAGAGTGAGGATGCGTCCTTTGTCTTCCTACCCCTTCCTGTCTCCAAGATAGGAAGCCCCGAACCGGCCAGCTGTTGCTTGCTCCCCACTGTAGATCTGGAAGTAGTCACCCACAGGGGACCCATCCGAATAGAGGTCGCCTGATTTTCGTGGCGCCCCTCTTCGAAGCGGCTTCACTGGTGCCATTGGAGTTTCTCTCCAACATCATCGCCCTACTTTGATCTCCAACATCCACTTTCATCTACGTCTCGAAGCACTCGCACTATCTCACAGTCGGACCGGTCGCCAAGGCGGCGACCGGTCCGCACCAGTTCGGGGGTTTTGCCACTCAGGACCGCTACGCTGACTTCCGCGTGTCCCGCTTCTACCAGCGCTGCATGGAGAGCCACTCGCTTGAAAGCAAGCCTGGAACAGCCGATTGGGGATCCGTATCCCGCTGTGATGATGGGAATGATGGAGGTCCGTCTCTGGATAAGGCACATATATCACATATCCAAAGAATAGATGGATGGCTGCTTGGGTTCTAAAGGGTGCTAGTAAAGACCCCCCCCTTAGGTCCTTGCGTGAGCTCCCAAGGGCGGGTCTTTAATGGAAGGTGAGCGACGTTTCACGACGTTTCTGGCCGATGCTTCATGGGTCCATGTGTTTTGTTCGTGCGCTGATGATCGAGGCGAACCCGACCTCTTCCGGTTGGTCACCGGCACTGGAACGCTGGGTTGCATCATCACTTTCTCCATTTGCCTACGGCATTCTTGGTCCTTGGACCAGCGACCACTGTGCATGCAGCGGAGCTACTACCATGGCATGTTGGCTTTTCCCATGGTTTGGGCCTTTTGTCACTTGGACGGACAGAGGAGACAGCCCTTTGGGAAATGAGTCCTTTCATAGCCCTTTGAAACATGCCACTTCTCAGATGCACCTGTTTGAGTTCCCAAGCACAGTGCTTTGCTTCCAGTTGCTGACCTGGCCGGACTCGACCAAGGCACCTGGGTCACACTTTGGTGTCCTTTGAATGCTCCAATGTCAGAGCTTTTCATGGGGCAAAGCGAAACATGGCCAGGAGTCAGCGATACCACATCGCCGGGGGTCGGGCTTTTGAGAAGTACATGTCATCCGACTGGGCATCCTTGGGCGGTGGAGCATAGACTAGGTGACCTGACCTCCCCAAACAGAGCTCAGAGAAGGTTAGTAGTGTAAATGAACCGGGTCCTTTCAAGGGCTCTTTTCATTTGGCAGGGTGGTCTTGTTGAGGCATGTCATTGCTGTTGCCGGACTTCCATTCTTCCCGCTCCTCAACTGAGGAGGCCTATGCAATTTATTCCTTTCTGGTACTGCTCTTCATGTTGGTGAGCATTGAAGCACTGAAGCGGCGGCGGGATGGTGAGTTGGATGGGAGTTCTTATCACTCCAACTCCAACATGGGCGAGGTTATCATACAAGCAGTTCAAGCATATGGTCCACAGAAGTACTTCGCCGTCCCTCCCTTGGGCTGCCTTTTTATGAAATGCGTCCGGCCGCACCATGTGACGGCCAACCAACTTCTGTGGGTCTCGCGGCTGGTGAAACAGTATGGCTATGCACAGGTCATTCTGAACACATGCTACATATACACCCGGCAGACGATGGTGGCTGGCTCTGCCCGCGCTCAAGTCCTGGCCACATTCGAAAACGCGACTGGTCAAAAACATAATCCTACACGTGCCGTGACAAACATCTAGTGGACAATGCAGCCTGCAACAATCGCAATAGAGAAACTATAAGAGAAACTGTGATATATTGTGATATACTGTATTGCGATAGGATCGTGAAACCACTTGGCTGTCATGTGCAACACCTTTTGCAGGGTCCTACGGTTGACGGAATATCCCAACTCACTGGGAGGTAGTAGAATATTTTCACGTACAAAGTCAAAAGCTTCAATCTGACCCTCCAGATCCTAACTGCTTTTCTGAACTGTAGATCTTTAACATCGTCCAGGAGCCTCCAGTCGATGGTTTATTTTTGGTGTGTTTTGGGGGGATCGGTGCCTTCTGCAGCTCAAGTCCAGCATGAGGTCAGAGCCCAAATTAGAACTGTGTTTTTCAAATTCCAATATCTTGACCTGGCTACCAGGTTAGGAGAGCACTAGTCTATAGTCCGAGCTACGACCCACAAAACCAGGGACTGTTTGAATCTTTTTGATGGATATATCAAACATCCATATATCATATATGTTGGATATGGCACCAAATCGAGCAAGTCCCAGGATTCATTTGGTACGTGGCCCAACCCATGGATCCCACAGATTTGGATATATCGGTGGGGTTGGACATCGGTAGTCATTACTCAGTGATTGTTATTTCTTTTGTTTGGCTGCTCTTACTTAAGTTGGTGCGGGTGTTGGCGGAAATTATTCAAATAAGGGTGAGGGCATCTAGACGCTGCTACCGACTGGATGCAGGATAGCTCACGCTTCTTCATTTAGTTCCTCGATTCATTTCTTTAATACTCAGTGATTGCATCCTCTTTTTGTGCAGGGCATCCTGTACGCCCGGTCTCAGAGGCATAGCGTGGGGCAAGGCATATAGTTTTCCACACCCAGACCTGAGGTATTGAAAGTGTCTGGGCTTTTGGCAGTCTACGGACTCTTTGTGATGTACAAGGCAACGCACGAGTTGCTGCATGACTGGAAGACCACGGCCAAGTTTCCTGCTTGGACCATGCACGGTGAATGTTTTGGGGTTTTGGTATTTTTTGGTCCAAGACGATTGGAGCCATGTGGACAGCCATTCGGCGAACGGACAGCCAAGGTTTCTCTCAGTGAAGCTGATCATTGGCTTGTCCACACTGCAAAAGATGCTGCTGCGGAAAATCGTGGAGGTCTTTCCACCACATGAGACCCGGTGGAATCAAGTGCCAAAACAAAGCTGAATGGGTGCCGAGAATGCTCATGTATATAGCTCATGTTTGTTTCGCGTGGTGTTTTATTTTCTATGCTGTTTTAAAAGTCCCTGGATCAGCCTTCAAAGTCCAACTTTGAGAGAACATTCACAAAAGTTGCTACACTACTGTAATAGTATTGTTTTTCATTGTTCAATCATCCAAGGAGGGCAGCTGTTTGCTGGATCCCCTTCATCCTAAAGATTTGGACCGGGCCTTGGCCTATTGGTCTTCGTATTTGACGCTTCTGGAAACCATTCTGCTGGCATGCTTGGTGATCAAGGCTCAGCGAAATCATGCTTATAGCGCCTATTTGCGCACGCGCCAATCAAGTCCTCTCAAAAAATCGATAGACGAGATTCATCTCGATGGCTCATCTCAGTGAAACGATTCTTTTGTATGCTGGACACCCTTCAGGCATTTCGCCGGCTTGTTTGACTCTTTGGGAGAACTGAGCCCGAACACACATCCAACTCAAAAGTAGATCAACAGAAGCTCGCATTTGTTTTAATAACTATCAGGTAGTTATAGTTGTATGCATGTGTGTGATATATATATATATTAGAACCATCCTGGAGCCTTAGAAGAGGAGCAAGCTCTACAATTGGATACCGTTTATTCTTGATGCAGCATTTTTTGTTTGCGTGTGTTTTATGTGCTTTTCTGTCTTTTCGGCTCACCAAGCGAAAACGGGCATGGGTGCGAGCTCGGCTTGGACACACCGACGGGCACTTTCTTGGCACGAACAAACCACAGAGAGCAAAGCTGCAGGAAAGGGCGACCCATCGACTTTGTAATGATCCGCCAGGAAGCTGGTCTGGTGGTGGATTGGTTCTAGGCCTTCTATAGGCATTTCTTTTGCTACAAAGTGCTCGCAGATGCCGAAGTGTTCGGGACCTGGTGCCAGGAACGAAACAGAAGCACGCGACCCAAACTCGGCTGAAGCATGGCCCACAGGCTTGGCACATTCACATGGTGCTGAATCCAAAAGAACGCCTCAAAAGAAAGACACTAATCAAAGTTCACACAAAGGAAATGCCCATTGTTTATCTTGCGACCGCCAAGCGTGAGCAAGTAAGATGCGAGCCATGTGAGGACGCTTACACTCAGTCGCACATGTTTAGAATCCGTCCCTTGAAGGACTCCAGGTGGCACACTGCGTCTCAAGGGGTTTGTTTTCTCGGAATCATCGGAATCGCTAACTGCCGCTAGCCTGGATGGCATTGCACCCTGGAATAGTTGGCCTTTGATGAGGTTCCAATCTCCTCACTACTGATTTGGCCCTCATAAGGACACGGGGTGGGCGGACATGTGTGACTGGATTGATGCATCGGCGCATGCTCGCACGACTGGTCTTTCTGCAACCTTGAGGCCTTCCCAGCGGAGGAGGTAGCCGACTATCCTTTGAAGAACCTGGATTTTGTGGCTCAGTCAGACACCGACGTTTTGGCTTTCAGGTTTGATGTGGTCAGGTCACTTTCTATGGCAACCAGGAATGCTAAACCCAAGAATCCAGAAAAGGCTGTTTTCATAGCACACGTCAATTCTATGTTTGTCACATTTAAACAGTCAAACTTCTGACCTTGAAGAGGAGCTTTGTTGCTGGGGTCATGTTGCACCTGAGGTGGAGCTGGAGCTTCGGCAGATCCATCAGAAGAGCCGCAGCCAGAGCCGCTTATCGAGTCCCATTCACGGCCTGCGCAGCCGCCCGAGTCGCGCAGACTCTGAGGCGGCGTAGAGCTGAGCTGGGTGCGCAGCTGGCGGTGGAGTATTTGATCCCGGATTGAGAACCACCCGTCAACAAAGGGGACATCGTAGGAACCATTGACATGCTGTGTTCTGTCCTAAGATTTGCGATCATGGCAATATTTGAAGAACCTTCCAGGTCAGTTGCACGTCAGAAAGCATTCATTTATTGCTTTGGCCAACACCCAACGACTCCATGACCATGACCTATGCAAATATAAAAGTATATAATCAAGTGTGTGTGTGTGTGTGCGTGTGCTTGTCTCAGGTATATACATATATAGTTTAATAGCCATTTTCATATATACATACAGTATATATGTATGTACATGTAGATCAGAACATGTAGTGCTTTGAGCATATATAGGTATCTCCAAGGCATTCCAATCGAGGAATCGGCTGAATATCTTAGTCAGCATTCCAATCCTGGATGATTGTGGCGCAAAGCAGCCTCCAATGCCAGGCCCTTTGAAGGAGGGGTCGCCCGAAGGGTGCACTTACATGGATTCCCGCGGAAAACAGATGTTGTCTGAAGATCGGCAGTGTTGGAACCGTTTTGGTGGATCTACCGTAGGTCTTACTGGACATTTGTTGCAGCACCCGATCAGCACTGAGAGAACTGCAGAAGTCCCAGTGACATAATTTGGGCAAGCACCATGCAAAAGAACACTGTCATTGTCACCTACTGCATCAGGAGTTCAATGGTTTAGAGACCCGCATCAAGTGGATGTTTTGGGCACCCCGCAGCCTTCCATTCAGAATAAAAAAGGCATGTTACCTCTGACTGAGGTGAGACATGTTACCTCTGACTGAGGTGACCTCTGGTTAAGAGTTCGACTGGATCACCCTAACCAGGATCTCAGGCTGACCCATCGATATCCACATCTCACCGAGTCACCGAGGCCGCTTCTTCCCTACACTGGCCCACTACTTCGAACAGCTCGGTGTGCAGAGGCACGACGTGGAGCACGTCCGACTCGTCCACGTCGTGCATCCCACCTTTGCCTGCCATTTCTCAAGAGTCCAGACACTCTGAAACAGACGTCATAACTGGCGTGGTGTGCAGGTTATCGGTGTGTGCTGCGTTCGTACCTTCGTTTGCCGGAGCAACATGGTTTGGTTCCTGTAGTCCGGCGGAGGTGTTTTTTGGTGGAGATCTCGTAGGGTGAAGGAGCAATGGTATGGAACACCGAATTGCTGATGTGTTTTGGCCCAGGCCGATTGGTTTGAGCTCATCGTTTTTGTGCTTGCAGCATGCACTGCAAAATATCGAATAATATCGTGGTGAGACGAGAACAATATTTCAATACACTTGCTTGAGTTGGACACATCCAATGAGCAATTGTTCTTGGATGGGCATTCTTTTAGGGAATTCCTTTCATTGTTATTTGTTTTTTTTTGTGTTTTTCTGATTTGCTTTTTGTTGCTTTTGCTTTTGTTGCTGTTTTGCTTTGCCTTTGCTTGTTTTTTTCTTTTACTGAACTATTTCTTCCACTTGCAGCGCCTGCCACGAAACCTTTTTTAATATCGACCATGCTGCACTGCACCAACAACATAGATCACGAAATTTGCACTACGTCTTCTCAAGTTGACTCGTCATTGCTCCCTATTAGTTCCTTTGCTAGAGCTAGGCTGGCATCCAAAACAGCGAGCTTGTCCCTTGGAACTTCTTAAGGTTCCCAGCCATTTTGGGGGGGCGGATGTGCTCGCTTTGGGTATTGTTTGTTTTTCGTTCCACTATGCTGCGCCTGCCGCGACAACTGAATTCATGTATATATATATATATATGCCATAGACCAGGGTGCACTACTCTGTTGACACTAGGATGTAGAGGGTTTGCTGCCCAAAACTTGGTAAATGGTAAATGCCCACAGAAAGTCAAGACAGGACACCCCAATTGCTGTCAAGCAGGGAAATCCGATCCCCAACTGCTGGCATTGGCTGCACATTCGGAGGGTGCACATTTGAGGGGCCAGAAAAGCTGGACAACACAAACCCATACGAACCATCTCTCACCATCTCTCACCGGTTGGTCTTCAGGCTTTTCTACTGCATGTTCTGCTTTTCTACCAACCTTTCGTCCTTCAACTTGTCTCAAGACTACCAACTTGCACAGCCTTTGCAATGAGCATGCCACACAGACAGCCCTCGCAGGAATTCCACCCATTGCCTGGTATCAATTCTTCACCCTGTCTCACCATGAGGAATAACACTCCACCTCCCAATGCTGCCTCACCCTCCTGCCCATTCCCATTCTACTTCAAGACTTCAACGTCTACGACTTTCGCCAGTTTGCCTTGTGAGTCTGGCGTCCCACTCCTCTCATCATCTCACTCATAGTATCTCACTAGTACGGGCCAAGCTCCATAGGAAGCCCGCTCCAAAGGGTTGACGCCCAAACTGCTGTAAGCACAAACGAACTCTAAGACCCCAGGATTGAGAAAAAGACACTCCAAAAATAAACAGCACCCTGATTAAAGCCGCACGCACCCATTGTTCTTGGCACCCTGGACCAGCGTCCATGACTTTTCTCCCCGTGTGCATTATGACCGAATTTTTACGAGTTCTTAGCTTTTTGCGAAGACGCAGGCGGTTGTCTCCGGAGCCTGTATTGGATTTGCTCCGATCCTTGCGAGAGGCGCGATCCCTTGTGCGCGCCTGTTGGAACGTGAAGTTTCACCAAACATAGTACATACATATGTAGGGTTCAACCTGGCCGAGTGGTGCTTTAGAGTCAACTCAGGATTGGCACGAGGGATGCAACAACTCAGGAGCCAAGATCTTTAGCAGCAAAACCCTAAAGGAGCTAAGACCCGCTGGGAGTCAACTGAGGAATTGCCTAAGATAGGTGTGATTTCGATGGGGCATTCCCATGTTCAGACTGGGCCACCACGGGTATCCGACAAGGGAGAAGAGGGCCTGCATTCCAAGTAGAGCAAAGGAGCCAAACAAGACAACAGGTACAAGAAAGTTGTTTGGATACCCTGTCTCTTGTGGCCAAGGGAAGGTCAAACCACTTCCATTGAAGTTCATCTCTCCATCAGTGGCCAGGGCTCCGATGGTTTGAGCCTTGCAACTGCTGCTGTGGCCAGTCTTCGAGAGGCTCCACGAGAGAAATGCCCGCCTTTGTCCGCCACCGTCTCAGTGTGGGCAGCATGAAGCCGAAACCAAAGGTGAGCGCAAAGTCTCCTTCGAACCCTTTGGAGCATCCTCCATCGTTGTGAATGATTACCCTGCTAAGGAACATGATCGAACATGTGAGGCAGTCATGGTTTGAACCAGGTTGCATTTTCTAGATTGGCCCAAGAAGAACAAATCCACCATCTGGGATTCCTCAGGAAGATCCTGGCAGCGGCTTTCATAAAAATCTCCACGCAATAAACACATGACGAGCCAATGTCGGTGCGACGGTGTATGAGGGCTCCAAGCCAGAGAAGGGGGTCACTTGTGCCATTGTCGTTGCAGGCTTATGGTTTGAATATGTGTCCCGTTGACTTGCTGGTGCACTTTCAAGAGGAGAGGTCGTGGGAGTTGGCCAACGCTGTTTGTTGGGCCCGGTGCTGTTGTGTGATCTTTTTGTTGCCAGCAGCCACCGGGACGCGCCATCCAATATGGGTTTCGTGTGATAGCAGCTGAAAGTCTAGGCACCTGACAATGCCAATGCTACATAATGCTACATAATGCTACCAGGCCACCTAGTATCCTGGGAAATGTACTGAACCAGGCGTGGTGAGGTCAAGGTATCCTTTTCAACTCGATAGAGACCTTGACCTGGAACTCAAATCATGGGCATTTTGAGTCAGAACTGTGCGTTCCACGGGACCCCGTGGAACGCACGCTTTTTTTCCGTGAAAATTGGTTCATCAGATGTTATTATCACAGGAGGACAGCCAGTTAATTTATCTCTCTCCCAGACCCTTCTGAGATGTGCTCGTGGGGTTCCAGTAGGAGATCCTTCATGTCCAGAAGTCACATTTCCAGTGGTGGTTTCTGCATGTTTCTGCTCTTAGTGATCAAGGGTCTATCTATTGAATCAAAAGACTATACGACTCACAAGGCAAGGGCTCAGCAGATCTCAACAACGTCCAGGAGCCCTTGCTCCTGGTCCCTCGGCAGGCCGGTAACACCTGGAGCCCACAGGACGTTCGCCGATGCGTGCTGTGTTCATCATTGGCCCAACTGGCTAGTGTCATGTAGTGACTGTAGTGGGATATTGGGGGCTTTGGTCGGTGGATGTGCTCATTTCTCGAAAGATCACACATTCAGAAGCTCAGGCACCCGTGGAAGGATTCAAGAACAGCTGACTTGTCAGCACCGTGTGTTGTTCCATGTTGTTTCCATTTACTATCAGCAGCTGTGATGGCTGTGCTGTGGACAAGGCACCCACGAAGAAGGCCAAGAATTGGCTCAGGAGTGCGGACTGCATGTCGGGCACCGGGCAGGGGAAGGGCGGGGAAGGGTATCAAATTTCGAGAAACTTGTACTATCTTGTACTTGTACCCGGACCATCCGCATCCATCCCCCACCTGTGCCAAGAATTGCCGGACTTTTGACAAGAGTCAGAGTGTCCCATGGTACACATGGGAAACAGAGCGTCCTGCTTTAGGAGCTTGTCAACTTGACCCGAATAGTTTGACCGATGGAGGGATGGAGTGGCGTCCCACACTCCACCCGGTTGGTCCTTGGTCACCCACCCCTCACTGTTCTTGAGGTGGTACAACGTCCCCAGCTGTGAAGAGGTTGGCTGCCCTGCCGTGGAGGCTGCGAGTTGCGGCGGTGCTTGCTCCTTCAGTCCGTGCACCACCGGGGGATTGGCTTCTCCAGAAAACCAGAACCGGTGGAACAAGGTGAACCGATGTTAACCGTTCTTTTCGGAGCCTGAGGGAGTCGCAAGGAGTTCGATGTCAGTGCCAGAGACTCCCACGAAGACGAGGGTTCCTCACTTGGAGGGTGGGTCTGTAAGGTCTACCTGGAGTCTACTGTACCTCTTGAGATGTCCCCATTTCGAAGTTTGAGCCCAAGAGAAGTTGAGAGACCAAACATGTGGCACACTGGTCCGGGCACACGGGCTAGGCGGGGTGAAAGACCTGAACTGGACCTTATCCTCCAGTTCGTCCGAGGTGAACCGGAGCATTTCAGGGGGTTGGTACCCTCAATGCCCTTGGTGGTTGATGGCCCCAATTCTGAATCGGTCACAAGAACCAACATGCGTAGAAAGCAATTGGAAACGTCGCACATGGTCAAAACCCTGCAGCATGATCAGATGCGTATCACACATTGCTAGAATCGTAAACAAACGATTGAACACGTGTGTGTATACTATATACACCCCCACGTGGATGTGCCATGATGTGCCTACGCGTGATAACCCAATCAAGGCTTGTTGGTCGATTTCCCTCCGGGTGTTGGTCAGAGTAACTTCCCATGACATAGAACATCATGAGACAAACACATATATTTGTTGATTGTTATTATTGATTTGGAAAAGCTAACTCCCACCCCCTTCCCTTGAGTGGGAGAAACACTCGTATAGCGGCTTGCGGCCTTGCGGTTGCCAGGGAAGTGGCTGGAGTGGTGACTTCGAGGAATTCTTCCTGGAAGTCTTGGGAGTTCCCGCGCTGCAAGCCGATGAGGCAAGTCTTTCTCGCTTCCACCAGGAAAATAGCGAGACTTGATGAGACTTGGAGATCATGGGCGCTGTCCATGCTTCGCATGGATTTTTGGGACATTCTTGTTGCATGATGTCATGATGCTCACGTGGGCCTGAAGCCTATAGCTCGCAAAAGGCCTCTATACTTTGCTAAACATCTTGGATTCTCAAGACTGTTTTCACGATCGGCGCCGGAGATCGGACACGGTTGGACCGGCCTCGATCGGCATCACCCGCTGGTCGCTGGTCGTTCGAAGCCGGTGGTCAGGTGGCCGCACGGCTGGATGTGCTGCGCCGCAAGCATTCCCAAACGGATGAGAGGAGCCCGTTCAGAGCGGATGGTCGTTCGGGCGAAGAGGTGGAGTCGGTGGTGCGCTTGGTTGTGGGAGGGTTTCGGAGTAGTTTGGAAGCATCAAAGTACCCTTTGTTCAAAGCAAGTCGACAATGCCTCCTTGTATGATTACTTTTCCTCTACCAACAGATGGCTTTCACTTCAAGGTGTTCATCTTCCAGTGCAATCCGCAGGGTCCAGGGTCCAAGCTTTAACAAGGCTTTCAGCTTTCAAACCAGCTCCCACCAGGCGAGAAACCACCCCGGAAGAACGCTGGACAAAAAAGAACGCTGGCTCAAGTGGGATGCCATGAAAAGCAGAATGGCAAGGAGCCACCGAATGAGTCAACAGACACAGACACAGACCGGTTTTCTTCACCCCGTGGGAGAAGCGGAATTCCCTTTGCCAACTTGGCTGCGCTTGGGCTAGCAGACTTTTGGTGTCAAACTTCCAACTTGGGGTTTGGAATGGCCATGGCGTATGGCGTTCCATGCTGGCAGGCCGGAGGCAGAGGTCGCAGTTGTTCGCCCATTCCACACCTAGTTCGACACCTCTCCCATGGAGGCCCCAAGCCCACCACTCTACCAAAGGATCTGGAGAGTGTTGATGTGCAAGGAGGGATGCGCTCGTCTTTGTCTGTGAATCATGGACAATGGCCCTATAGAGGACCATTTTTCCTCTACAAACAGGTGGTTTTCTACTTTCATGATGACACTCCCTGAAACAAACATAAACAAACATGGAAGTGGACAACCCCCCTGTTTCTGGAGGAAATAGTATTCCAGGAGGCCGTTGTCCACTTCCATGATTATTGGAAGGCATTCCAGGGAGCATGTGGGCGATGTCATTGATCACGGCGATGGGCGGTAGCTCCTTTTCCATGGCGTGGGTCCGTTTCTTTTCAGGCAACGCCCACATTGGAAATGGGATGCGGCGGCGCATGGGAAAGCTAGGTTCAAAGTCCATATGGGACGAAGCATGAAAAGAAACGCGGCAGCATATGCAGTATTCACAAGAAGATGTCCAGGTTTCCTCAAAGGGCTGGACTCATGTAGGTTGTTGCTGCACTACTCTTTGACATCCTGGTGTTCAACGAGCCCCAAGAACTCTCAGAAGCATGATTCCTCACCACAACGAGAACGAACTGATAGATCAACAGTGTTCTGACCTGCTTGGTTTGTTTCCACTTCCATGTTCTTTTCACAAAGGGGTCGAGCAGACCATGTCTCCCAGCTGTATGATGGCTGCCCATGAGTAGCGCCTCCTTCTATTCCGCCGGCGCCTTCCATGCTGCGGTGGCCGACGAGTGCACGACGTTCGCAGCGGTGGCGGACGACTTCGCGCCGACGGGTTCTTTGGGCTCTGTGGGAGCGAGGTCCAGTGCTTCCTTCTATCCTTCGAGCGGGGTTGTGGGTTCCAAGACTCAATCCTTCGTGGTGGATTCACCCTGGACACGAAAGCCCAGGGAGAGCGCACGAGATGGGGAGGAGCACGGCGTTTTGGCAGGGATGGGCGCGGCGTGGCGGTGGGAGACGATGACGATGAGCTAACAAATGGTTGTGAAAAAAGCCTTTTTGGAACCGTGGTTTCAGTTGATTTCCGCCAGATGTCGCGAGCCTCAACTCATAATCTTTGTCCAACTACCAAGTGAGGAACTTTTGTTTCTCCCCCTGACTCGGGATTTCAGTCAGGGACTTAGAGCCCAAACCGCTCTTCCGTGTCCATTCACCACTTTGGCCAGGAGCGGCCTTCCAGCCGAGAGCGGCGGCATCGATCCAGTTGGCATGCGGCCTTGAACAAACGCCTGGTGGCCATGGAAGATGTGGAGGAGCTACTGTGCACTGCAGACGAGATGCTCACAGGCGAAAGGGGGGATGTTCCTTTCGCCTTTGGGCGGTATCCAAATGGATTTGTTGGATGACTGATGCACCTGCAGGTGCTGACAAAGCATCATCGTGAAATATCGTGAAATGACATAAGGATACAAGGATATTGTCGGTTCTTGATGACGATGGAGCTTTATGATTGTTCACTTCTGTCGTTGGATAATGATGACCTACTTTGAAACATCAGATGGCGACACAAGACAAAGATAGACGGACCAGCGAGCAAACTTCATTGACGGAGAAACGCGACGAGAGGAATGGACATGCTGAACACCATCACGGTGCTGAATAAGCTGTCGCGCTTGAAGGGTGCAGCGATCCTCGGTTGATTGGTCTTCGATTCTGGACGATTCGACCATTTGTCTTTTTTCAGAGGGAGTCCCTGACATCCATGAAACCAATTTGGTCCAGAAATCAAAGTTGGTGGAAACTCCAGAAATCACGGTAGCTCCCCCAGTTTGGTTGAGTTGGAGCTTGTCACATCCACAGTTGCGGAATCTCCTCAGAGAATTGGAGCTTGCCCCATTCATGAATTCATGCCCATACCCGGACAACGGGCACATTTTTGGATCTGAACATCATGAGGTGGAACCGCTGGATCCCCCTAGCAGTTCCAAGCCATTGAAGGGTATCGAACCCGTCATTTGATGTCCCAACGACTTTCGGGTCGCATCAAGACATATCAAGATGCATTTGATTCATATAGATTTATAGATTCACATGGGGTTCATAGAGAGTTCAATTTCATTACACTTGTATACGGGCCCGATGCCCAAAGATGCCATGTTCCACCCGGTGCCCAAAGAGAGCGTCCGGTGTTTTGTTTGTTTCGCGTCCGGGACGGGCAGGGGATCTGACGCAGACTATCCTAGGGTACACGGCAAGACTGACGTGCCTGCATTGTATAGGGTGGTTTTAAGATGTTTTCAGGTGCTTTTTGGGGTCAATGTATATAGGAAAAAGGACCGGTGGATTGTCAAGGGCTTTTGATGCTCGGCCAACCAGCCAAGACATTCACCACGACACCATAAGCAGAGAGATCCTCGTGCAGTTCGTCATCCGAGGAAGTTACATCATGACCCCCGGGTGCTGGAGATCCTCTACCGCATCGAATCTTCAACTTGCTAAGCAGATCTATTTGGCTGTTTAGTTGGTTTCTCACTTGGCCAGTGGGCGTGGATGGCATCCTGGGTTCAGTGTGGATCGTTTGCCCACTTCAAAGACATGGCCTCTCAGTCTCCCAAAGATTTCCGAGTGGACGAGTTCCTTGTTTACTCTGCTTGAAACTCCACATGTGTTGGACTAGCTTATTAGAAATAACAAGTATATGTATACAGTGTATATAATAAATATATATATAACAATATATTTATGCCTATATTAATGTACATAAAGTATGTATGTAATATGTGTGTGTGGTCGCCATGATCTAGGTATGTTCCTCCAGGATCCTGAAGACCCCACTCAGGAATCCTGGCTGTCGCACGCCAACACCCCGGGTGCCGCTGAAATGGTGGGCCCTGAGATTGTGCATGCCAGGTGGGGGGAGGGTTGAGCGGGACGTAGAAGTCCAGCGGTTCCTGGATACAAGCACCCACCATGCAGAACTGTCGATCGGGTTTCTCACAGGCACGGCCTTAAGGTTTGAACGGATGAATGGATTGTCGAAGGCCGGCACTGCTTCAGTTGACCACTTCACTACCACATCCCTCACACACCATATGAAACGCATCTCTTAGGTTAGCCGCTATAAGCTCAGGAATGGCCTGATGTAACTTCCCGCCAGTGCATGGCACCATCCGTCGTTTCTGTCGTTGTTTCTCCTTGCATAGTAGACGTACATATTGCACATTCGGTTTCTTTAGCGGTCATGACATATGTTGATCCAAACATATCCAAACCATTTTTATGCAGTGTTTTGGGCATCCCCGGTATGAGACCTTTAGAAGTCAGGTCTCGTCCCGTCATTGAACCGGTGTTCAGTGTGTTTTTTGTTAGCCTTATGCTGCTGAGGGATTGGACACGGACGGTCACTGTGGCGGTTTGCCGCAAGAGAACCCACCCACCCACCTCCAACGCCCAAGGCATTTGGCGAGCATTACAACTGCGCTGGCGCGGTTGCAATGGAAGGACCCTTTTTCGGCTACAGTACATACTGTGAGTTTCGCGCCGGGGAAGATGTCAGCTAAATCCAAGCTTTAGCGATATGAGGCTGGGGTTGCTGTTGAACTTAGTCACTCAATATTCATGTTGGTCCACACCGCCCACTGGACCTGCGGCACCAGATTCGTTTTGGGCACAGACCACACCAAAATGAAGCATGTCAATGTCAAACGATATGAAGACTTTACAGGCTGCTTCAAGTCCTGGATTTCTCTCGATTCCACATTTCTGAAACCAACTCCTACTGTTGACACAGGCCCACCCGGCCATGCGCTCTTCGTGGCGCCGCCCTCGTCCAGGACTCCACTCCTGGACGCTTGTTGCGTGTCATTGCCTCGATTGCTCCTCCACTCTTGACCTCCGCCCGCGCGCGGGACCTCTCAAACCTGGCCTGGGCCTTTGCCACGTTGGATCTGCGGAAGTTTGATTCGGTGTCGAAGCTGCAATTCTTTTTTGAGCGGGGAACGAAGGGTGGGAAGTGGAATGGAGGAGGATGGGGTGGGATTCATGATTAATCTGGGTGTGAAGGTGGCAGCGGAGGGGATTGCAGAGTAGCAGTAGCACCAGTCGTGCCATTGGCACGTGACTTAATCAGTTGTTTCCAAATAACTAACAATTATTACCAAGTAACTGCATGATCACTATATTAGGAATCAATGAAAACCCACCCTCCCACTCCTCATCCTCCACTAGTTTCGCCTGGAATGGGATAGACTTGGGTGAACCCAAGTGATGAGTTCGTGAGCCCGCCCGGCCACTAAATCCAACGACTGACCTGGAGATTGGCGCTATTCCGGCCACTGGAATCCTGGAGGGGTGGGGCAACCTGACATAGATGGGGGCCGAAGGGAACACCGTCAATTCATGATGTTGCCTTCAGAACATTTCAAGACCACCATGAACCCATGTGTTTTCACGCCCCTCCTTGCACCTTGGCTCTGGTGGTCGTGGCTGCAGGTCTTGATGGCCATCGCCCGGGAAGCCGTGGTTCAGATTTCGGACTTCACCGAGCAAAACCTCTCCAACACCTGCTGGGCCTTCGCTGCTTGGCGGTGACCGTGTGGAGGAGGGGAAAGGGGACTGCTGAGCTGACCAATGCTTTGGGATTCGTGGGATGGCCATGGCGCTCGAGGGATTTCCATCATTCATCATTCATGACATGACATCTTATCAATAACCCTTTTGACATCGGGTCAATTTTGACCTCTGACCTGCAACACTCACCATCATTGGTCTGTCGTCAGTCATCCACTTTGGGTGAAATGCCCCGTTTGGGATGTCATCTCAACCTGCTGCCACAAAGGTTGCGTGGCCAGGACTTGTTGGACCCCTGCGACGGTGGCTAAGACGGCTAAGAGTCAGATGGAATGTCGGACCTGAACAGGAGGAATTCACCGGAATGTCATCAGACTCAGAGTCGTAACCACTTTGCCAGCGCACCCTGACCAATCATTTTGTTTTTGGCCATACATACGCATTCAACGATTGGCTTTTGGACCAAGATCACTGCGTCGAATGAGGCGAAGATTGGTCTCCGCCACGACCCCTTGATCAAGGCCATCGCAGATGAGACGCTTCGGAAGCTGGGGCAGTTCTCGCCCCAGGGTCTGGTCACTTCGCTGCAGAGGCCGTTCGCGCAGCTGAGCAGTTCGGGGGCAGTCTGCCGTGGTGTGGGTCTAAGACACGGAAGGGATGCGTCTCGGTCAAAGCATTGCTCCAAGTGTTCCATTTACTTGCAAAATGACGTGAGGTATGTGAGACGGGATGTGATTCAAAGTTTGCTGCTCCAGGTCTAAATTCCAGTGACGTGTTTTTGCATTGTTTTTGCAAGGTGTTTGTGTGTTTGAAGGCTGCGTATGGTAAGGGGATGTAAGGGGAAGTGACTCTTCACACTGACGCACACACACAAACTAAAAGGTGGTGGTGCACTAAAGGCCAGCTAAAAGCCAAAATTGGCCCGTCCCATCCCTGGATCAAATGCAAATCAGTCCAAGTTTGTCCAACATGCATTGGACCCTGATGTGGGCAAGGCTTTAAAAGCATTTTGAAGGACGATGCACCCTCAACCCCCGTGCGACCTTTGCCAGGTTCACCCGGACCCGACGCGACCCGCCAAACGCCCAGGTCAACACGTTGTGGGGCTTTGCAACGCTTGTGATCAAGGGTGAGGATTGGGCCAAGACGTGTCATTTTGTTGGCTTCGATGTTCGACCAAATTTGCAATGTTGGTCGCTGGGGGGGGGGGGTTTTTGGATGTCATGTGATGAAAACGTGGCACCGCAAGAGAGATAAAATGGGAAAGAGATGGAAAGAGCATGAAAGAGCAACATGCCAGCCTTAATCGAAGGAAAGGACATCCGTCGGGCCAAGCTGGATGTCAGGGTTGGAATCCATTGCTCCAAAATCAGTTCAAAGAACACAGCTCAAAGAAGCGGCACAAAACACTAAAAACACCTTTGCAGATGAACATGCCCTTAATTCCACCCACTTTCACAAACCAAACCTACACAGACAGACTTTGCCCGGCTGTTCGGGCAAGCTATAGGGTACACGGTGCACCCTGATGTTCTTTCGCAGTTCCCCCCATACTCCGCACCCGTTCTGCGCGAAAGCGAGGAGTGTTTGGGGAAATCCAGCTGGCAGCTCATCAACGCCTTGTTGGAAGAGATCATCCGGCGCCTTCCGGATTGTACTACTCAAGAGCTGAGCAACTCCTCTTGGGCCACCAGGCTGAGATTCAGACTGAACATGCTCAAGTTGAACCCCTCGAGGTTAGGCGCACAGTTGAACAAGGCCGCCTGACCCGATGTTTCATCGAGGTATGTTGAATCACGCCTAACTGGAGACCATCGTAGGTTCCTGCAACTTGTGTTTGTGTGCTTTCCTTCTACCAGGGGCCCCGTTTTGAGACCCCTGAATCTCGTGTAGGACAATTTGCGGCCAAACATTGTCAACGAACAGGTCCCGAAGGAGCTCCATTACGCGTGAAAGTAGAGATCGTAGAGCGCCCCACACTCCTGAATCAAACATATCAGGGAGGGAATCGTCAACTATAGCCTGTAGACCCACCGATGATTGAACAACAGACCTTTCTTTTTTCCTTGCTGTGCACTGGCTCGAGGTGACCCAACTGACCTCATGGCACACCCATAGGCCAGCACCCATGGGGTTTACTAAGTAATTCGTTGCGCCATCCAGCTACAAACCTCACGGACCGGCCGGTGCCCGCTAACGAGGCCTGTTGCCGTTTGGGCGTCCGGCACGACGGCTTTTTGGCGGCGGTGGCCTCGGAGGGCCTGAAGAAAGTGGCGGGATACACCTGTCAAGACCTGGCCAACACCGCCACCTGGCGAGAGTCCTTGGAGATCAAGGACTGTTGATGAAAGGGCATCCCTTCAAAGGATTTGGTTCCTGAGGTTTCCTGTGAGAACGAAATCTTATGAAATTTTGAAAGCCAGCTGATTATGAAGTTGCAGGGGTTCCTTTGTCTCGCTGATTTCCTTTGCTCGAAGTGATGAATTGTTGATTCTATCAGGCAGGAGCTGAGAGCCTTGGATTTCATGGTTGATCTGAGGCCATGGCGTTTGCAAAGCCCAACGTCTACCACGAGCACTTCCTGCAGGCACTCGCACACCATGCTGGCAGAAAGATGAGACAATTTGAGGCCAGAGAGGTCTCGAATGCTCTTTGGTCCTTCACGATCTTCAATAGAGACCCGTGGTGCAAATAGAATGGCCAGTTAAGATGAATTTATTCTAGGTTCGGATCCCTACTTAGTTGCGGGCAGTCCAAGATAATTGGCCAGCTTGTCCAGATCTTCTTCCACCATACCATCGATTTATATATGTGCATATTCATGTGCATATATAAATAATATATATACACATAATTTATGATGCATACAAAACACTGTGCTTGTTACACATACAGTACACATTTCTTACAGGTTTGTCATTTCCCTCGAACGTTCCTCGCACCGACGGAAGCTGCTCTGAGGACCTGGTGGGGCCCGATTGGCTGGACCATGCCTTGGAACACTTCTTGGAGCTGGTGCAGAAGCGGCATTATGAGGGTTGGGAGCTGGTGCAGGTGGTGAACGCCTGTTGGAGCTTCCGACATCAGCTCCGCCACTGGAGCAGCTTGGAGAAGACCTTCCATGACCGGGTCTTCACACGTGCCTGGGCAGGCCAAGCAGGCTGCAACATTGGGAGAACCTTCAAGTGGTCAAATCCGAGATTGAAAGAAGTTGGGATGTTGGCTGTTGGCTTGTCGGGCCATTTGATCAGCATTTGATGGCTGTTCACTTCCTTTTACCTTGTTCTTGGAAAGAAGAGGCTCACGGCCGCAAGTCACCAGGTGTGGTTGGTGCCTTGGATGCCATCATTGGTCGAGATCAAGGGCTACTGGGCATGTCGGAACCGCTGGAGGCCAGGTTGGTTGTGTGCTAAATTGATGGTGGACGGGTTGCTCTTTTGTACATGGAGAGGCTCTTCCCAAACATCTCCAAGCACAGAACCTGCCACCAACCAACTTGTGCCTAAATCATCCCGGAGCACCAAGGTAGTTTGACCAGTGGGTTCCAAGAATGTCCACCCCAGGCCCCTGTGGCTCCCGCCCCGTCCAAGCTGCTGAACGCCGGTCCCGCCACCCACGGGCACCTCGCTGGAAGCGTCCCGGAACGGCTCTCGCCACTGGAAGCTGCGCGGCGGAGTGCTCAGCGGCTCATTGACGAGCTGCAGGTGACCAGGGTGTTTGATTCATGGTGGCTTCCAAGGTGACACACACACAGAGTGTGCAGACATGTGTGGACTCTTGATTATATTTCCACCCCCGATATGATGTTCTTCATCGAGAAAACACCCGCCAGGGTTCCTGGTTCATGGCCCTGCGGTGTTGCAGTACTTGTTCTTCAAGGTTTTGTCAAAAGTTTGTTCAATTATTGTGGGCGGGAGTTCTTAGTCTTGATCTAAGGTCAATAATATTGAGGTGTGTTGTTGTTTTGGGATTGGTGGTCCAACTCTTGAAAAAGGTTGTGGATAATAAGGATGAGGACTGGCGATTTGGATTTCGTATCATAAGAAAAGAGAGACAACAAGAGATCCACAGCACTTGATCTTTGACATAGTGTACAAAGTCGTGCTCCCAAAGTCATCCCTTCCATCGGCCAGGCCGTAATCACCACCGACTGCCTAAACAGCATATTGCTTGCAAAGTGCCCATCGCTAGGTGGACTTCCTGGGTCCGATCTTCACCCGCGTGGCCATGCGTGATTTGGGCTTCATCGATCCCCGCGACCGGCGTCAACTGTGCGCCTTCGCACGAGCGCCCACGGTGGGCGGGCCGGACTCGTCCACGGGCTCGCCCGGATGGGGCGACGTCGCAAGGGAGGCCGTGGCCGAAACCTTGGCCCAGATCCGGCAGGACACGAAGAGAAACACCGCGTTTGGTGCGGCGTGGTGTTTCTTCTCGGTGCACATAGAAGGATCTTCAGAAGAGTCATGAAGGATCTCGATGTCCCACCAAAAGCCTATGACACCTCATGATGTATCATTATGATTCATCATTCATTATCTAATCTACCCTATCATAGACCTTATGTTCGCAGGAAACCTTGATAATTACACCACGTTGAGAGGAGCTGGGCTTTATGTGGTTTGATCGCTTTGGGCCACACGAGCGGAGAGTGATCTCCTGGTGTCTTGGAGAGATTAATGTTCCGCTTGAGTGGTCAGCACCTTCAATGCAGGTCACTCTTGAGTTGAGGCAAATGAAGGAAGAGACTAGAGTCGTTGTGCCACTTCTGGGGTTGGCGCTTTGCGAAGACCATTTTCGAGTTTTGTGGAGGATTGTTTCTCAAGGGGTCAGGTTTTCGCGCTTTGCCAGCCAGAAGTTCATAAGTTGTGGGTATGGAAGGACAGCACATTTCCACCAATCAATTGAACGGTGATAGTAGAGACAATCAATAAGACCTTCCACGGGTGCTTTGAGGGGTGACCTGTCGATGTCGACATGTATATATGTTGCAGAGAGAGAGAGAGAGGGAGAGAGACAGAAAGAAAAACAGACAGACAGACAGACAGAAAGACAGACAGACAGACAGAAAGAAAGAAAGATAAACAGAAATAAAGATAGAAAGGAAAGAAAGAAAAAAATAAGGAAAGAAAGAAAGAAGGAAAGAAAGAAAAACAAAAGAAATAAATAGATAAATAAATAAAACCAATAAAAATACCAATAAATAACAAAAAAAAGTTTAAAAAAAAAAAGACAGAGAGAGAGAGAGAGAGATAAATGAATAAAGAAAGGACATTGTCCAAAGCCACCTGAGACTGTAGCTGCTATTGTTTGGCAAAGGCCAAGTATGCGGTGAGAGACCCCTTTGTCGGCTCGAGGATCTCAGAATCAACCTGTCCAGGGTCTTTGCTTTTCAGGTCGCCAACAAGCCCGCACATGCATGCATTTACAGTTTGCTTTCCAAGTCCTCTATAAGGCGTTCAAGGTTTTACCAACCCTTTCCTTTCTATAACTCATGTCATTCCTATACTGTACATTGTAATATACGGAAAGTGTTTGTTCATGCGTTTTTTTCCGAAAGCTTCTGTGACTCCTTTGGCCTGAGGATTTCATTTGAGCTAAAAGTGGAGATCAGCTCTGAAGCCTCCAATGTGCCATGCATGGAGACTCTCAGTGACCCGGAATTGCTAAAAGGTGCTTTTGATTCTCCTTGTTTGTGTTCACTCATCACTGCAACAGTTGATGAAGAACAAATATACATAGAAGTGGATGGCGAGCTCCCTTAGCTTCATATACTGTATTATATGTGATGATTCTGCTTCTCCTCGCTCCAAAGCCCGGTCCAAACCCATCAAGAATGGGTTCTTCGCACCAATCACCCCCTCAGGTGAGCGTGGGCGCATTTGTTCCTTCAGCTGCTCAGATGCACAGACGCAAGCCGCGCTCACTGCTTAGTGATGCGGTTTCTTTGGAATCACACTTCTCCGAATCAGTGGGGTTCCCAGCGGTTTCGGTCCGCCGTGCTTCCTGAGGTCTCGATGAGCATCGAGCCATGGACAAGCGTGGCTTGGAGACCTTTGCAAGGCTGGAGGCGCAGTGGAAAGGCTCCTTGGAGGCGCTTGCAAAACTCCTTTACTCCGTTTTGGGGTGTGGATTCTCAGCGCGGAGGTCAGAATTGGTCTCAGTTCGTTTGATCATTTGCTTTCAGGAGCACGGCTAGGTCGGCTATAGGTTTGAGGGAAGGTTTTGAGCAACATGAGGAAGCGTCCAAACGATAGGCGTCATGCGCGGTGCGGATTTGGGTGCTTTCGATGGTGAGCTGAGCCCATTCAAATGATGCGAGCCTGCTGCGTGCAGTCATGGCTGCTCAGGTGAGGTGCTTTTCACGCTTCAAGATGTTCGAAAAGGACAGCTTCCCTGTAACAGTCCAACACCCCGGCCTTTTTCGGTCGGAATCATTTGTTTGAATTGCGGGATGGTGATGGTCGAAGGACAAGAATGGCTGCAGGGGCTTTTTGCCCAGCATGACCGTGCAGGACATACTGAGCGGCAGGCATTGCTAGAGGCCGGCTCAAAGCAGGCTAAAGCAGGTAACCAGGGGATCCAAACATATCAAACACAATTTGGGACAGGTGTAAGTAAGGTCCCCATCTCCATTGAACAGGCTGAGCGAATTACAGTTTAAGGCCAAGCGCGAAGCTGTTCTCATTTTATATGTTGCATTTGGCTTCATCAACCCAATCGCTTTCTCCTCTTTCTTTCAGGTCTGCCTGACCCCAGGTCGCTGAAAAAGAACGTCTTCTCGACCTCGTTGGAGATTCGGATCTCCTTGCTCTCTAGGCCCTAGGCACCAAACAATGGGGTCAAACCAAGTGACTCAAGAATAGTAGGGTCCTTGCTTGCTCCTAGTAGCGATGCCCTTTGCTCCTAGTAGCGTCTTGCTCCTAGTAGTGAGGCCAGGAGCCCCTAGTAGCGTCCTCGCTCCTAAGTCAGTTGCTGCTTTTTTGCGCAGATCATTCTGGAGATCATCAGTGCCATCCGTCGCTTGGAACGGAAGAGCCATCGTGGCAACATGGCACAGCGGGAGAGCAGCATCGAATTGGGCCTGTTCGATGGGTCCTTAGGTGCTCGGGTCAGTGGAGAGATGCTTGGCGAAAGAAGGCGCGCAGAGTGGGGACTCTTTGCACTCGAGGTTTGACATCAAGAACTTGGCCCCTTCCACTCTGAAATGAGCCACCAGTATCTATATACAGATGTCAGTTTGGCGCTGGCGGCATGAGAAGCATTCTCAGATGCAGTATATTACCTTAGGATTGCCAAGTGTTCCACTGTTCCACTGCTTTCTGGGTGCTCTGTAGTGGTACAGTTGTTGGACCAAAACTAGAGCCAACCAAACAAAACAGAGTGGCACCCCGTGTGTGAAACACCGCCGTTGGACATGTGTTTCCCGCTGGCTTGGCGGTCCAAGTGGCCGGACAATATGCACATGTGAATCTACATTGAAGTGGGGCCTTACCCTCCTGAACACTCACAGTGGTTTGGAATCCATGTGCCTTGCAAGCCTTGCTCCGTGGCCCCCCGCGCACCATCATGTTTCCCTCCAACCCACTGGTATTCTATCAGAAATCTTCCCTTTTTTTGGATCGCACTAGCTGAAATGTCACAGTGTGCTCAAAGAGACCCCGTGTCTAGTCATCCCCTGTTTTGGTTTCTCGTTGAAACTTTCACGGTATGCCAAAGCTTTTCTCTGGGTCGCAGCCACGACGGCACACGGGCAGAATGAGGTTGAGGCTCTTCGTGTGCCACTTCTGCTGCATCTCTTGCATGGCGGCCATTTGCAACTTTGTGCGGCGGTTCCCGCACATCCAGATCCATATTGACTATGATGATGTGTGGAAGACGCGGTTGCTTGATGTTTAGCTTCTTATTCGTGGCTGGTGTCGTTTCGAAGGCCGCTGATGGACCTGTTGCACGTGACTCCCACTTGTATTTCCAGTTGGCCGCAGCTTTGGAATGCAACGTTTGGGCCTCTCGTCTTGTTCGACCTCGGGCGTGAAGAAAAAGAGACGAGCTCAGCAGCTAAGCTCAGGCGAGCTGAGGGACCAGCTTGGATGCAGTGAAGTTGAAACAGGCCCCCAGCTAAGCACTTTCATGTTGTTTCCTCACCCGATATCAAGATCTCGTGAACGCAGGCGGTTCAGCTCCTGAAGTGTCCAAGTGGGATCCTCCTCAAGTCTCTTCCGTGGAAGGCCAGTTCGACTATTTTTTGACCGACTGAAGTACAGGAAATTAATTTCCGGGTCACCTAAAGACCATCCTTTTTATAGTCTTTGACTCCCAGGATCTTTGGGGCTTTTCGTGTTGTGGTGACCACTGGAACTTTGAATATTCCAAGCTTGTCAGGTCATGAGAGGTGTGCCTCTACATGTGAGCTGGAAATCCTGTCCCGAGATCCAAGTGTGAGCGGGCAACAATCTAATTTAGATGCTACTGTAGATAAGTTGCTTCCGAGCTTGGAATCCAAGAACAGGATACCAAGGCCTGCTCGGCTCCAAAAGCAAATGGACCCTGTATCTCTAGTCTAAAATTCTAAGCTGGCGGTGTCTAACAGACTGGACAGTGACTAAGCAGCAGTGCAAGACGATGCTTCGGAAGTTGACAAGTCCTGCATCGTGCTGGTGCCTGCTTTTGGCCAAGATTTGGCATGTTCACATATTTTCGCATTGTGAGATCAGTTTGACTCACAGTAGTTCGTTGAGAAAAAGAGGAGCATGTAAAATTTGGACCTCCAAGATCCTCCAAGCATAATGACGAAGCTTGCTTTTGAATAGAAGGCAGGACGGGCACTGCGTGGTCTCAGCATGTCCATTTTGCACACCGTGGCTCAGAAAACCGGCCCCACACGCACAGACCCGCCGGACTATACCGTCCAACGCGCGGTGCCGGAGCCGTGAAGTCAGAGGCGCCATGGCATGTGTCAATGTACCAGGCCAGGCATTGGCCCCAATCTCTCGGTTGATGGCCCGAGTTTGGGGCAATGGAGACAACGCCAATGCCTATAAGGACGCCAAGGCCGGGGTGGAGGGACGGAGGGAGGAGCCTACGGTTCGTGGTACATTTTGCAACTGTAACACGCTCATATTGGGGTGTTTGTTTGTTTGTTTGTTTTAGTTTGTTTCGTTTATATACTTACTATCTCTCTCTCTCTCTCTCTATCTCTCTTCTTGTGTATGTGTGTGTGTGCGCGGGCGTGCATGTGACAGTATCACGGATGGTGATTATATAAAAATTGTAAAGAGTCTTGCGAGACACACCATATGTGTGAATAAGAGCGGTTGTGAGTCATGAGTGCATGTGCGTAGCCATGATTCACAACCAATGATCCAATGTGCATGTTATGAAGGACTCCTGACTCCTGAATCATACCGTTACACCCAGAACTTGATGGACCAATCCTATCATTCCTGGCCGTGTAGCACAAACTTGGCCAATTCGAAGAAGGCAAGGAGTGAATTGGACTTCAACAAATGGCTGGCGATCTAGCAGGATTGCTGCTCCGCTTTCCACATCCCAGCATATATGCGCAGCAGTGCGTAGCACATGACGTCATGCATGTGCAATGTTCTTTAGGAGCTGTTTGATGACTCGACGACTTGATGAGTTCCGAACATTTTTGGTGCAGGTGGCCTTCACCAAGCCCAAATCCTCATGCGCAGTTGAGGCAGGGAGCGCAGAGCTCCAACATGCTCCAACTATCTCCCTTTCAAAGGTACTTGGAGAGATGACTGGGGATTGTGCTGTTCCCACTATGCTTGAGGTGTACCTGGTACCGTGGCTGTCACACAAATGTCGGGATTGATCGGAGGGTGAGCTCCAAGTAACTTGCCATACCTGTGACATCCTGTTTGTGACCAATAAAGAGATTCCGGTCCTGAAAAGAAGTGTTCGAATAGGCATGTCCTGTGACCAATGAATTGAACCCTCAGGCAGAACTTCCTTTTCTCCGCCTTTGCAGGAATAGCTCTTCTCTAAAAACAACCTACCTGTGCCCATGCGAACTCTCCCCTGTCCTGCAGTCCTGCGGAACCCGCTGTCGTGTCCTGCTTCCAGGTGACGGACACCAAGAACGAGAAGCATGACGCCTCGGCGGAGGCCTCCGCTCCCAAAGCCCGTCGGAACAAGGACGGAGGGACGCGGAATACACGCCGGCGGACGTGGGCAGTGCGGGGACGCGAGGCCTAGAGAATTGGGCTGCAGGGGTCGCAGCCAGTAATTAAGGGGGGCCCCGCCGAACCCCAGTGCTTTCACATCATGTTTCCCTTGGGAGTCATTGGTATGTCTTGGAGTGGCACAGCTCAAGCTGTGCCCACGGCGCAAGCGCCATGCTCGAAGGGATTCCTGTCACCTCGATGTTGGGACCCGTATGGACCTGCCGGAGGAGATCTACTCCACCGTTTTTCCACAAAGTGACCAAGAATAGAACACGTTATTTGTTTTTCATTCCAAAGGCCAAAGGCTGCACTATGCTGCACTGCATGAAGCCCTGGTTGTTTGGGCTGCTAGATTGTAGAGCAAAAGGCCCAATGAGGTGTCTTCCCGAGATCTTTTTAGGTTTACTTGCTGTTTATCGCATGGTTTTTTTAAAGGTTTACTTGCTGTTTATCGCATGGTTCTTTACATGCATGATCACAAGATCGCTTATTCCACACTTCTTCCAGGAGGTGCAAATTGACGCGACCACTATGGTGCCATCAGATCTTTATTGGACCATGTTGAGGGCGGGGGAGAAAGCCAAGATCCTCAGCTGAGAGCAGAGCGACAAGGGAACTGCGCGAGGTTAGCCAGCGCAGTGTTCACGTGCCAAGAATACACCATCAGCTTTTTGGTTTAGGATAGTGGGATGGTTTTGGCATTGTCTATGTGAAACCCTTGCTGGCTTGATGAACGTGATAAACTTGTGGGAACTCTCTCTCTCTCTCTCAGCTTGGCCGGACGACTCCAGTGAATTAACTTTCCTCAGGCCCCGGTTGTGCAAACTGGACAGATGCAATGACCTGTACCAAACCAGAGCTAGCAGCTTTAACATAAGAGAATCAAGAGATTTCAAGTGGAACTGGGTACAAGTGAAGAAGTACATGGAAGGACCGGCCCTGAATGTGTTTGTTTGTTGTTTGTTTCTCTTCTCTGGAGCCTCCCCAAAATGGCACGGCTTCTTGTATTGCCCCCGGCACGAATCAGGAACGGAGGACAGCATCGCCTGAAGACGAGCCATCGTGGCGTCGAGTCTCATCATTTGGTGCGGAGCAGCTAAGCACCCTTCAGGACTGGCCGGCTGGTCCTGAGAAGATGGACCTGATGAATTGAGTGAATGAAGCGGGCAGGGTTCTCAAACCACCTGGTGGATCGCCCAGATTCTCGCACGTCATGGGTCCACTGGTCCTCCTTTTCATATCTTTTCCTACTTGATGTGATCTAATATGGGAGACCAAAAGGAGCCAAAAGGAACAATGGTTGAACATGCTCGACACATCATGGGCGGCTTGATGTTCCAAGTACCCTCAGTTGTTGTTCGGCGTCCATTTGCTGGGGGCTGGTGCTGTGCTGCAATCATGCCTCATTTGGGAGGATCCATGTTGTGAAAGCACGCTGAACTCATGAGTGGCGGATTGTTGGGGAATCCTCAAGCACATCACGAACCATGTCATTACAGTATATCATAGTATTGTCCGGTATTGTTGGCCAAAAAACATATTTGATAGCATCAGCAGCGAGCAACTAGCGGTTCATAGAGCTGACATCACCCGACCATCGCGATCGCCTCGCCCAACGCATCGGGTCGAGCCGAAGCTATCGCGCAGGCGGAGGACGTGAAGCTATCGCCTTGAGCAGTGTTTCGTGCTTGGGAGCTGCTCGTTTCGAGCTTTCAACGTTGCTCATGCCCCCCGGTGTTCTTTTTTTGATGTGTTGGATGTGAGGGCATGCTTTGGGTAAAATGAGTTGGCCTGACCCCAAGTGAATAATAATTCCCACTCGGAACGCACACCTCCACTATGAACGAAAAAGGGTTCGAGTGGCCCAAAACGAAAAATCCAAATCAGCTCTTGGGAGAGGGGGCGGGGAGGCCCCCAAAACACCTTACTTTCGGTCCCTTTGGCACCTGGAAGACTTCAAATCACTGGTGGGCATCTTTGGAGTGCAGTGACTGAGTCGCAAAGCCCAATGAAAAACAGCTCCAGGCTTGTTTGAGGCACTGAAGCGGTGACCAGTGGGCGGAATTGTCATGCCGAAGAAAGGCTCAATTTGGCAGTGGGGGTGTGCCTTGGAGGGTGACCCAAATTATTGAGGAGAAGAACACCTTGGGGCATCCGAAATCGGTTGAACCAATCCCAGATCTGTTTTGTTTGCAGGGTCACTCACGCAATTGGACCCAACCTTGACCGTTCTGGCGCAAGGAGTGCCCAAACTATTGCCCCCTATTGCGATTACTTTTTTTTGGGGGGGTGTTGTTTTCGAGTGTCTACTTTCAAGTTCTATATTGATTGCCAGGGGTGTTTGAAAGGACTTGTGCATACAGTACGACTCAGCACTTCCTATATAAATCCCGAAATCCAAGTGGTGTGAAGTGCTTAGCTAGTGCGGATACATGTTATCGAACCAACTAGACTTACAGTCGGACTGCAACTGCGGCCGATGCGACGCATGAGCGACGTGGGCTCATGAAGCCCTTAGGGGAGAGCCCTGAACATCCAGAAAGGAACCAATCAGGTTGCAGATCCTGGGATGACAAACAGCAGGAAGATGGATCATGTGCTCTATATTGCCAGTTGACCAACGAGAAATAAACTGTGCTTCGACAACTCCTGGGCCTGCTACTGAGAATTCTTTAGTGCAGCCCCAGGAGTGGCTGTTTGGGGTGACTCAAGGGCTGTTTGCTGGGAATGGTCCGTGTTTGGGACCGTGGCTGGCAATATGGCCAGCAAGCGTTTCACCGCTGACCCTGACCTCGCTCCCGCATGCGTGCGTGGCGTAGCTCGGGCGACGCCCAACCTCACACCTTTGACTGATGGGAGGCTCTAACATGTCCTAACCGCTTAGACCAGCAGTCCAGCGGAACCGTGGAGAATCCGCAGCTGTACGGTACAGGTTCCCCTCGTTGTCCTTGTACTTGTTCCCAACCGCCCCCAGAAGTCATTGTCGGCCAGGTTGGCATCAAGGAAGGCAGTTTGAACATGGCTAACTATAGTGGATTGAGAGTAGATGGCACAGACCCCAAGAGGTGGTTTATATGAACCCCCATGTAAAGGACATCTTGAGGTCTGTGCCATCTGCTCTGAAACTGTAATGCTATAAACATCTATAAACAGTTGCAGAGCTGCGAGCCGCTCAGGGTCAGCATGGCTTTGTGGGAGCGTGCTGACAGGCACTGTCAGTGGAATTCACGAAAGCCACCAGCGCCTCTGTACCGAGCCTCGTGTCGATCGGCCTGAAAACAAACTGGGCAGGAAGGTCTGGGAGGTCAGGGGCTCCAAGTCTTGGAGAGCCCAACGGCCCAACAAGCCCGAAAACCCAGCCCCACGTTGCCAGGAGCAATGGGCCACAGTGCCAGAGGGCAGTAGCCTTGCAACTCAGTGCGCGTTTTTTGGTGGGACGTCCTTTGTGAACGAACTGCAACTGCGCATCCACAAAGTTTCTGTCTTATTTTGATCAGTGCCCTGCTTGCCAGCATTGCAGCTTCTGAACAAAATAACCTTGCTGACATACGAAGATCCTCATCTTGGCCTATTTTTTGCCTGAGGTGTCCGCCTACCTGGAAATTCTGATTGCGCTGGAACGCCGCCTCGATGCAGGCGAAGTACCGACCATGCCCGACCCTAACGGGTCACGCGACAGACGGGACGTGCAGCGTTCACTGGGCTTTTGGTGTCAGGAAGTGTTCGGGAAGATCCACTGTGTTCTAGAGGTCCCCCCTGGTCTCCCGGCAGTGGTCACTGAGATCAAGCCACTCTATATAGCCTTTCACACGTAAATATAGATCAGATGAGATTAGATTAGATTACATTGGTAGATAGACAACAGTCACAAGTCAAGTGCTTCGAGTGCTTCAAAAGAATGTCCACCCAATGAGTCCTATTTTGGTGTGACTCCAGGATGTCAATTTCACAATCCTCGATTGGTGCATCAACTCCGAGAACGCGTCGGGGCGTCCGGAGAACGCGGCGGCGAAAGCGGCGGTCGCGAGGACGGGAGGCCGAAAATGCGAGAACCAATCCTTTCGACTCCTTTTCTATCACCGGAGAACCTGAATTAGGTGCACAGTGACTTGCACAGTTATAGACATGCATAATGTAATGTATGATGGTGATGATGGTGTTGCATTTTGGAGCACCTGGCATGCCGCATTCCCACAATCATGGGCTCAATGTGAAGGTTTTTCCCCTGCAGCATCCGCCGCACAATGCTGCAAGGTTTGCAAGTGTGGTGTTGGATTGTGTTCTGGAGTGGCCTGCCCATGCTGGATTGCATAAGTATTGATATACATGTGTGAGGTGTGTGTGTGTGTGTTTCCATGCACGGCGTTAATTCGGTCTGCTAAGTAATCAGTAACCAATTTTCTGCAGTCATGCATCACGAGAAACACTTTTTTCCAACACCTTCAAGTGATCGGACGCTCCACCTTGCCGTTGAGCCTTTCCTTTTCTCGGGGAATTGAGTTAGCTGAAAACCCAATGTCAAAGTGTGTGCCGCTCTGCAGGGTGTGATCCCCGTCACTGGGGCGCTGTTTTCATGCCGGAGTATCACCATCGGATTTTGCTGCTTTCTGGACACATTGGATTATCTTAACCGACTTCGTTTCACCACTGTATTCCCAAAATCCAAGCCGCCGGGCACCACGGTTTTTACGACCACCGGGTATTCGGAAAGTCAAAGCCGCCGGGCATATGGAGAATGACCCCACACATCCCCCCCCCCCCCGGCCGAGTTCCCTACTCCCCACCTAATTTGGGTAACAGACGGAAATGGTACTTGACACGCTTGTGTGTCGGTGCCTTTCCCTCTGTTGTCCCTGTTCTAGTCTACTCTACCCGGGCGGTTTAAGACTAAAGTCCCGCTCCCTAACTATTGCACCTAATTAGTTTCTGCTAAGTAATCGGTAACTCTAGAGTGCTAAGTATTCAGGCACACACACACATGGACATACACCCCCTCCCTGCCCCCCGCTTTCTTTCTTGCGCTTTTCGTCGTTTCTTGGGCTTTCTTTCAGGCTTTTTAGGTGGTTCTTGAGGCTCGTTTCCCTGCCTCAGTCAAGCGCTAAGTATTCACCTTTTCCTACGCCTATCTTTCTCTCCTGCCCTTTTAGCGCTGCTCTTTCTGTTTTTCTTTCTTTTCTAAGGCTTTTTAGGTGCCTATTTAGGTTTTTGCGCCAGAGCGCCGCAAAGCGGCTGAGTGTGTGTGTGCCACACTCTGTTTCCAAGAGTTTTTCCACGCAGGGGGCCGGAGCCAGGTTGGGGGGTCTCCGGCCAACGAAGACACCCCCCACCTGGGTGCAAACGTACCTGCGATCAACTGTTGTCCAAGCTGTTCTACTCTCTCTTTTTTGCTTTCATGGTCGTTTTCATGATACGTCCCCCAAACCAGGTTTCCATGCACGGCGTTATTTCGGTCGGCTAAGTAATCAGTAGCTAATTTTCATGCATCACGAGAAACACTTTTTTCAAGCACCTTCAAGCGATCGGACGCTCCACCTTGCCGTTGAGCCTTTCCTTTTCTCGGGGAATTGAGTTAACTGAAAACCCAATGTCAAAGTGTGTGTTTGATGTACGTGTTTGATATATACTGGATATATATACACATGTGTAATCACATATATATATATAATTTGACCTTTGATTAAGAAACGGGAGTGGCACATCTTGAAATTTTGGTTTACCCTAAATAAAGTTCATCACAGGTTCCAAGAAATATGTTTAATTAGAAATGAAATGATCCCGCAGTAAAACAAATTTTACATGAAAGACGTGATAGAATTTAAAATTGAAAATTAGAATTGATATTGAATTAAACTCAAATTCAAGTGAATTGGAATTGATTTGGAATTGAATTTGACTCAATTTCAAATTCAATTGAATTCCTATTTTTGTGTTTATTACTTATTGATCACAAGGACTGTTGCGGGTTGCGGATTTTGGGCAGTGTAATCCGCAACCCGCAACCAATCTTGTTTGCAATGCTCCTTGCCATCATCTGAACTTTAGACATTGAACAGAAAAAAACTAGACGACGAGTGGCCCGAAAGCATTTTTCATCACGTAG